GGAAAAGGAAGAAACTAACTATGATACCCACCAACTGTCCAGTTAACACAGTAGGTAGAGTGTTTGGACTGTGTATCAAAAGCAACCCGGATTTCATGCAGGTCACATTCTTTCCCTACAAAGGTCCATCATACTATATGCAATACATAACAAATGAAGTTCACTATAAATGGCTTGGCTTTTGCATGCTAAAAATCATGGACAGTAAACTAAATAGACGATATTCAAGTTTCTTATATAAATACAGGATTTATTTTCGAGTGGTATGAAAATAAATATTTCACAAGTGGCAGTAGCCACAAGTGAAATGTGATAATTTTTATACCACAAGATAAAAATAATCCTGCATTAACAGAAAAAAAACTTGAATTTTCTGTTTATAACATGTATATACTTTTTCTCTTTTTTTACCTAATGAATAGGAACTATATACTTTTATACGTGTCCTGCTGTAATATAAGGAGGAAAGTGAAAGAAACACAACAACTTCTAACATTAAAACTTTTATTTAATATAATACAACAATAACATTTTAGAAATATAACCAACTCTATGTGTAACAGAATTTGTCAGGGGTATAATAATTATTTAGACATAAAAACTTCATAACCATGCCAAGACAATTAAGTTATTTTTTTACATAATAAAATGACTATTTGTATAACATCATGTAAGAAATGCATCAAATCTTGAAAATAAACAATGTATACTAAGGTTAAAATCAGATTAAAAAATCAAACAGATTTATGAAACATGATTAAAATTCAGATAATAACAATTAATATGTGGTAATATTAATTAGCAGATTAAAAAATACAAGAACAGTTTACATTTTTTTATAGATGTTTTTATATATAAAATCATGTCTTATTGTTTTGTTTCCATTATTTACACTTTAAGAAAATTTGACAATTCCCATACACACATTTTTCATACCTATCTAAAATTTCTTTTACTTGAAATGATAATTTTTCACAATGTATGTCTAAAAAAGATAATTTGTGTCTTAAAATGCTATCCATCTAACAAAAATTCCATGCCATGAAATTTCCTTGCAATACACACAATAATTTCCAATTTTTCCCATAATTTACAGGGATTTCTGTTTCACAATTTGCTACAATGTCGATTTCCCCCTGTCTTAAAGTAATTCTACATGTAATGTAGGTTCATTAATTTCCCATTCTATGCCTTACATCTTACTAAAAAAATATCCAAGTCTAAAAATAATTCCCAGGTTTATACATACATAAATTTCAAAGATTTTTACCCTCTACAAGCCTTGTAACCATTTGAATTATGTAAAATAAATGTAAAAATAATGTAATGTCCATAAAATAACTAACCCATAACATGCTTTAAATTTGGAATCGTCCATTTAAAGTTAAAGGATTTCAATATCAAAAAACACAAATTGAGTTACCAACAGTATAAGAGACTGACCTGAAGTGCATGAATGTACAGGTTGGCCTGAATCGATACAGGTGGCAAAAGCCAGAAGATTAAGAGTTGAATATATTAAAATGGCAAGATGTACAAAATGTGTTATGATCAATAAATGAGCCGCGTCATGACAAAACCAACGTAATGCGTTTTGCGACCAGCATGGATCCAGACCAGCCTGCACGTCCACGCAGTCCGATCAGGATCCATGCTGTTCACTATCAGTTCTCTATTTGTAATAGAGTTTGTAAGCTAACAGCATGGATCCTGATCAGACTGCTCTGATGCGCAGGCTGGTCTGGATCCATACTAGTCGCAAACACATTACATTGGTTTTGTCATGACGCAGCTCAAATATATTCTGTCTTTTTATCAACAAACTGTTTATTATAAAAAATCAAAGAAACAAATACCATAAATGATAATTCATATCAAAATGTCTTGATAAATTAAACAAACATATGATTTATCTATACACCAAGCTTGTACAGAAGTACTATGTATGAGACACTGTCCATCTTCCCAAACAATTTCTATAACACATGTTAAAAATAGAGCATGTCATTTTACAAAGTTGAAAGTAGCACAATGTCTTTATACAAGACATAAAATACAACAAACTCGTAATCCACTGATTTTTGTCAGCACCCATGCTCAAAGCAATCGAGTAGTTTGCCCCTCCTACCCAATTTCTATAGATATTTCACACTCCACTTTATCATCTTTCTTTCTTTTCCCATCGTTATTAGAACTTCTACTACCTCCCTTGCTTTCACTACCCTTTCCAGACTTCTCGCCCACAGACTCACTTTCCACATTAGGTTTTAAATCTGTACGTTTACTGTTACTAGTTTTTGAACCACTTGGTCTGAATCTTTCACCACCTTCTTTACTAATACTAATCTGTTCAGATTTAGTATTAAGTGAAGGTTTGTCTTTATTATATTCAGGTTTTGTCTTTTCCTCATTCACTTTGCTAGAATTTACTTTTGACAAAGGAGAGTCTGTTGAATGTTTTATAGGAATGCCTAAGTAAGAATGGGTATCAATTTGTTTAGGTGACCCATCTTGTCCCACTGTATAATTTCCTAGTCTCTCCTTGCTGCTTCTTGACCCTGACCTTGACGCTGCAGCCATCTCCTGAATTGTCTGCTTACTCAAGATGGGAGCACTAACCTTGAAGAGAAATTAAATAAAATCATAATTATAACTGAATAAGACAACAAAAAAACCTGCAAATAGCTTTTATTCCTAAATCAATAGCCATCACAAATAGGGGCCAAAACTGATATTTTCTTATTATCAAATGAAGGTCAATGTCTTATTTTGAATAATTCAATCTAAAATTTTAGTCATAAATTTTGTTTTATACATACATGTATAAACCAAAATCATCAATTAATAACTAAATTGTAGCAAATTTCATAAAGGGAAAAAAAAACTTTAAGACTTTAAAGATTATTTTCAGTTTTTAATCATATGGTCAAGGTCATTCTTAAATTGCTCCACTTGATGGTTTATCTTTAATCATTATTAGTCCAAATTTAAATTAAATCAGTCAACAAATAACACAATTATAAAAAGCGATTTTAGAAATGTTCAATGATTTTAGCCTTACTTGTAAAGGTCATTTAAGGTCAATGCCATACCTTAACTGCTCAACAAGACAATTGTATAATGGTATGTGTTGGTTTGTTAAAACAAGAGGGCCATTATGGCCCTGAGGTCGCTCACCTGTATATTAGCCCCCCCCCCCCCCCAACGTTGCAGGGCCAATTTAACCCAAGGGCTTTTATTTGCACAAACTTGGTAGACACCCATAAGAAGATGTTTCATGCTAAACATCTAAGCTCTAGCTCATTGGGCTTTTTAAAAGAAGATTTTTTTAAAGTTTTTACTATACACATGTAGTTAAAAACAATGACACCCCTGGGGCCGGGCCAGTTTTGACCTCATGGCTTTTATTTGAACAAACTTTGTAGACACTTACTAGAAGATGTTTCTTGCTTAACATCAAAACTCTAGCTATTTGGGTTTTTTCAAAGAAGATTTTAAATTTTTGCTATACACATATAAAGAAAATCAATGACCCCCGGGGCGGGGCCAATTTTGACCCCAGGTCTTTTATTTGAACAAACTTTGTAAACACTCACTAAAAGATGTTTCATGCTTAATATTTTAACTCTAGCTATTTGGGTATTTTCAAAGAAGATTTTTTAAGTTTTTGCTATACACATATAAGGAAAATCAATGACCCCCGGGGCGGTGCCAATTTTGACCCGAGGGCTTTTATTTGAACAAACTTGGTAGACACCTATTAGAACATGTTTGATGCTAAATATCTTAGCCATAGCTCTTTGAGTTCTTTAAAAGAAGATTTTTTAAGTTTTTACAATATGTATATAGGGAAAATCAATGACCCCCTGGGGCGGGGCCAATTTTGACCCCCAGGGCTTTTATTTGAACAAACTTGGTAGACACTTATAAGAACATGTTTTATGCTAAATATCTTAGCTCTAACTCTTTTGGTTCTTTAAAAGAAGATTTTTTAAGTTTTTACTATATGCATATAGGGAAAATCAATGACCCCCGGGGCGGGGCCAATTTTGACCCCAGGGCTTTTATTTGAACAAACTTGGTAGACACCCATTAGAACATGTTTGATGCTAAATATCTTAGCTCTAGCTCTTTGGGTTCTTTAAAAGAAGATTTTTTTAAAGTTTTTACTATATGCATATAGGGAAAATCAATGACCCCCTGGGGCGGGGCCAATTTTGACCCCAGGGCTTTTATTTGAACAAACTTTGTAGACACTCACTAAAAGATGTTTAATGCTAAATATCTAAGCTCTAACTCTTTTGGTTCTTTAAAAGAAGATTTTTTAAGTTTTTACTATATGCATATAGGGAAAATCAATGACCCCCTGGGGCGGGGCCAATTTTGACCCCAGGGCTTTTATTTGAACAAACTTGGTAGACACCCATTAGAACATGTTTCATGCTAAATATCTTAGCTCTAGCTCTTTGGGTTCTTTAAAAGAAGATTTTTTAAGTTTTTACTATATGCATTTAGGGAAAATCAATGACCCCCTGGGGCGGGGCCAATTTTGACCCCAGGGCTTTTATTTGAACAAACTTGGTAGACACTCACTAGAAGATGTTTCATGCAAAATATCTAAGCTCTAGCTCTTATGTTTTTTAAAAGAAGATATTTAAAGTTTTTTCTTTCGGTTGCCATGGCAACCAGAGTTCTGCATGGAATTAAATTCTTTGAACAATTTTTAAAGGTGACCACCAAAGGAACATTCCTGTGAAGTTTGGATGAAATTGGCTTAGTGGTTTATGAGGAGATGTCATTAAAGTAAAAGTTTACGGACGGACGGACGACGGACGGACGGACGCCGGACGAAAAGTGATCACAAAAGCTCACCCTGTCACTTTGTGATAGGTGAGCTAAAAATTATCAAATCCGTCCAAAAATATTAAAGTTATGACTTATTTTAGTACAATTCAATAATTTTACATTGAAGGTCAGTCATTTTAAGGTCAAGGTAAAACATTTGCTTAAAATGACGGTTTTATGGTAAGTCTTGTTTTGTTCAAGTATCAATCAAATCCATCCATTAATAACAAAATTATAGCTTATTTCAGCAAACTTCAACAATTTTTGTGTCAAACTTTAGTTGTTCAACATAACATTTTTAAGGCAAGTCTAGTTTTGTTTAAGTATGATTAAAACCCATCCATTAATAACAAAACTAAGGTCAATTTTAGCAAAATTCAATAATTGAACCTTTAAGGTAAAGATCATTAAAAGGTCATTAGTTTGACCTACTTGAGGGTATTATAAATTGTTAAATGGGTTTTTATATGTATGAACATAATATATCCATTACTAACAAAGGTATATTCAATTTCAGCAAAATTTAAGCAATTAACATTGAAGGTCAAGGTCATTAGAAAGTCAATCAAATTCCGTATGATATGCCCAAATAGATATCATGTCAATTATTCATGTCAATATTCATTCAAATTGGTTGAGTTGTTCAAAAGAAGAAGCCAACAAAGAAGGCCAGACAATCACAGCCTCAAACCATTATACCCTGCTCCCATTCATTGGCTCATTTGATACTTTGATATGTAATATATGTAATACTGTATACCAAGGGTATATTGATACAATAAAATAATATTTTATGAAACTAAAACTGATACTAAAATGCACATAGTAGGAAATGCAAGCCAGTTTAAACCCCAGGCCTTTTATTTGAACAAACTTGGAAGACACCCATTAGAAGAGGTTTCACAATGTTAAGTTTTTACTACACACATACATGTATAATGAAAAACAACATTTCTACCCCACCTCCCTCTTACCCCCCCCCCCCCCCCGGCAGGGCCAATTTTAACCCAAGGGCTTTTTATTTGAACAAACTTGGTAGACACCCATAAGAAGATGTTTCATGCTAAACATCTAAGCTCTAGCTCATTGGGGTTTTTTTAAAGAAGATTTTTTAAGTTTTTTCTATACACATGTAGTTAAAAGCAATGACACCCCTGGGGCGGGGCCAATTTTGACCCCAGGGCTTTTATTTGAACAAACTTTGTAGACAATTACTAGAAGATGTTACATGCTTAATATCTTAACTCTAGCTATTTGGGTTTTTTCAAAGAAGATTTTTTAAGTTTTTGCTATATACATATAAGGAAAATCAATGACCCCGGGGCTGGGCCAATTTAGACCCCAGGGCTTTTACTTGAACAAACTTGGTAGACACCAATTAGAACATGTTTCATGCTAAATATCTTATCTCTAGCTATTCGAGTTCTTTAAAAAAAGATTTTTTAAGGTTTTACTATATGCATATAGGGAAAATCAACTAGAACTATCGCTGAATGCGATTCATACCCCCACCAATGTCCTTGACAGAAGACAACTTGGAAAGGTGGTTAAGGGAATAACTTAAGTGACACAAATACATAAAAAGAAATTATCTCTGGTGAAAAAAAAGACTAATTGTACAGGTAATAGTAAAAATATCTATTATCAAATCATGTTCGAAACAGTTACAAATAACCTTTCATTTTCCCAATATACTAAACTTTTTATAAGTCAATTTTTGACCTTCAAGTGTGGCCTTGACCTTCAGCTGGCACAAGGGTAAGATGGGTTCTGCACATGGCCCAATTGGAGTGAACATTTGAGTAAAGTTTGAAGAAAATCCTTCCATTAGTATAGAATTTATAGAGCGGACACCACATATTGTCTAGTATTGATTGTATGTAAATTTAAAGACTTAAAAAGGGGCATAACTTTGTCAAAATCCAATACAGAGTTATGAAACTTGAAATGCATATCGTAATTGTGACACCTCATATATCTTTTAAGTTTCAAGCAAATAGCTATGCTAGTTTCCAAAATATTCAAGAACATGTTTTAAACAAGAAATTTCTAAATCAATTTTTTACCTTCAAGTCTGACCTTGAAACCCTTTACCCGCACAAAGGTGACATGGGGTTCGCACAAAACCTGTTTAAGTGACATTTGGGGAAAATTTGAAGAAAATTCTTTCCCTTAAAATTTGGTTTATAAGTACCAACATATTGTTAAAAAGTGATTGTTTATTTGAAAATTAAAAAGGGGCATAACTTTTTAAAAACAATACAGAGTTAAAGAAAATTTAAGCTATCTTAAATTTTACACTTTTTTTATATTTAAGTTTTAAGCAAATACCTTTTTAGATTCGAAATATTCCCCAAATTTTGTTAAAATTAAAGAACCTAAAGTGTGACCTTACCTTAAGCCCCCAAAAGAAATGACATGGGGTTTGCAAAACTTGTTTAGGGGAAAATTTGAGCCAAATTTGAAGAAAATCTTTCAATAAGTGTAGGACTTAAAGAGCGGACACGACATACTGTGTAATATTTGATTGTTTGATATTTGACCTTCAATTGTGACCTTGACCTTGAGCTGACACATGGGCAACATGGGTTCTGCACATCCCATTGTTGAAATGAACATTTGAGCCAAGTTTGAAGAAAATCTTTCAATTAGGTGTAGGACTTACAGAGCGGACACGACATATTGTGTAAAATTTGATTATTTGATATTTGACCTTCAATTGTGACCTTGACCTTAAAATGACACATGGGCAACATGAGTTCTGCACATCCCCTTGTTGAGGTGAACATTTTAGCCAAGTTTGAAGAAAATCTTTCAATTATTGTAGGACCTACAGAGCGGACACGACATACTGTCTAATATATGATTGTGTTTGATATTTGACCTTCAATTGTGACCTTGACCTTGAGCTGACACATGGGCAACATGGGTTCTGCACATCCCCTTGCTGAGGTGAACATTTGAGCCAAGTTTGAAGAAAATCCTTCAAGTGGTATAGGAGTTATAGAGCGGACACGAAAATGGAGACGGACCGACCGACCGACCGACCGACCGACGCGACAAAGCGAATCCATTATAGCCCCCCCCCCCACATTTTGTGGTGGGGGTATAATGACCCCCTGGGGCGGGGCCAATTTTGACCCAAGGGCTTTTATTTGAACAAATTTGGTAGACACTCATTAGAAGATGTTTCATGCTAAATATCTTAGCTCTAGCTCTCTAGGTTCTTTAAAAGAAGATTTTTTAAGTTTTTACTATATGCATATAGGGAAAATCAAAGACCCCCTGGGGCGGGGCCAATTTTGACCCCAGGGCTTTTATTTGAACAAACTTGGTAGACACCCATTAGAACATGTTTCATGCTAAAGATCTTAGCTCAAGCTCTTTGAGTTCTTTTAAAGAAGATTTTTAAAGTTTTTACTATATGCATATAGGGAAAATCAATGACCCCCTTGGGCTGGGCCAATTTTGACCCCAGGGCTTTTATTTGAACAAACTTGGTAGACACTCACTAGAAGATGTTTCATGCTTAATATCTAAACTCTAGCTATTTGGGTTTTTTCAAAGAAGATTTTTCAAGTTTTTGCAATACACATATAAGGAAAATCAATAACCCCGGGGTGGGGCCAATTTTGACCCCAGGGCTTTTATTTGAACAAACTTGGTAGACACCCATTAGAACATGTTTCATGCTAAAGATCTTAGCTCAAGCTCTTTGAGTTCTTTAAAAGAAGATTTTTTAAGTTTTTACTATATGCATATAGGGAAAATCAATGACCCCCTGGGGCGGGGCCAATTTTGACCCCAGGGCTTTTATTTAAACAAACTTGGTAGACACCAATTAGAACATGTTTCATGCTAAATATCTTAGCTCTAGCTCTTTTAGTTTTTTAAAAAGAAGATTTTTTAAGTTTTTACTATATGCATATAGGGAAAATCAAAGACCCCTAGGGCGGGGCCAATTTTAACCCCAGGGCTTTTATTTAAACAAACTTGGTAGACACTCATTAGAAGATGTTTCATGCCAAATATCTAAGCTCTAGCTCTTAGGATTTTTTAAGGGAAGATACTTAAAGTTTTTTTCTTTCGGTTGCCATGGAACATTCCTTTGAAGTTTGGATGAAATTGGCTTAGTGGTTTATGAGGAGATGTCATTTGAAGTAAAAGTTTACGGACGGACGACGGACGGACGACGGACGAAAAGCGATCACAAAAGCTCACCATGTCACTTTGTGACAGGTGAGCTAAAAATGCTTAACATGAATAATATTACATAAAAGGCTAACAAACACATATATACCTTGTTAGAACCAGAGCGTCCTGTTTTCTCTGAATTGGTCACATTATCCCTTTGTCTACCTGCAACACAAGGGAGATAAATACTATAATACTTCGATATTAAGCAAATAATATGTATCCCTTATTGACAAAAATGTAAGCAACTTCTCAATTCATATATGAATGAAACAGCGACACTGACATCCCGGTAAGTACAACAGCTCTCCCTATTCTTTGAAAAGTCAAGCTTAATTTGAGTATGTCACTTAACCCTTAACTGGCAGGAACCAAAAGTGATAAGCCTTTGCCACCAATATAGAGCCAGGCCAGCCTGCAGCTCCATGCAGTCTGAACAGGCTCCATACTATTGGTAACTCATTTTTTCTTTTTTGATATACAAATCCCTTTGAATAGACTGTTTCAAATTAAAAGCTGGACAGATCCATTATAGAAATATAGCAGGTTAAGATAGGGGCTATTAAGTAGCATACACAACCTTATCCAAGTGTAATGATGCTGCAAGCAGTTTTAAATAATCTCAAGTTACAAATAATACGAATACAAACTTTTTGATTTGTCCACAGCTGTAGAGGTTCTAGAGGTATGTGATGACCTTGAAGATGACCTTGTAGACTTCTCTGGTGTTGGCTTTCGTGCCGGGTTTGATCTATCTCTCTGCAAACAGTACAATTTATTTACAGATAATTCAGTTTGGCATGCTGTACATATAATTGATTACTACAATTATTCACATGAAAATAACAAAAATCAGAAAATAATGTAATCTATTTTAGCTCAAATGATTAACTATATTGCCTTACATGACATCAATGGTAACAATCTAGTATGTCACATATGCAAACAATATGTTTCGGCATGCTGAGAGCCCACATGCACATACTCCTTAATTATGGTTGATATTAGTTACCTCTGTTGCTTAGACACTCCAGGTGCATTTTGAAAACTGTTTGATAAAATAACATATCAATCCAACATAGGGTTATAAAACAAAAAGTTAACTCTTAGGTGGTATGTGTTACTAAAAAACGCAAAAATTTCTTCCTTTACTACCATCTACACATTAAGGTTGTTCATCCCTGTAAGTTTAAGTAAAATCTGCCATCCGGTTTAAGAGGAGTTGCGTTCAAAAAATTTCTACTTAGTATATAATGATAAAATCAACAAAGGGCCACAATTCTGTTAACTTTGGTTGCAGTAAAAATTCCTTCCTTTTCTGCCATCTACACATTAAGGTTGTTCATCCCTGTAAGTTTAAGCAAAATCTGCCATCCGGTTTAAGAGGAGTTGCGTTCACAAGATTTCGGGACGTACGGACGGACTGACGGACGGATGGACGGACAAGTGCAACGCTATATGCTCCCACATTGTGGGGGCATAACCAGAGAGTCTGAAGGCAATCATACTCATTTCAATTGATTTGAGGTTTTGCGTACCATTCAAGTTATACTCTGATACTACTACTTACATATGTTTTTTTAAAACTACACCTACTAAAATACTGTTTTAAATTTCAGCTGAAAAGCACTTTGTTCTTACTTTTTCCTTTGTAGAAGTAGAGGAATGTCTATCTCTGTCTCTCACCCTGCTACTGCTACGTCTGCTGCTGCTGTGACTATTGCTACCAGCAGACTTCTGAAATTGTCAATTTATTGAACACTGAAAAGTCACCAATATATGAATGACAACAATATTCTTGGCATACTGCCAAAAGGTAACATATGACACCTGCTTCTGGCACACACACTGATAAGGCATTCTCACACTAATTCAAAGTTTATTCCTTCAGTTAAATGTTCACTCTCCCTTCCAATCATCAACAAATCTCTCAGGCTCTAAGACAAGTAAATCAAATAACGCTTATATAGATACATTTGCATAGTATGTATATTTTTATATAACCTTCACTACAAACCTTATACCTTACATTATCTACTCCAAAACTAGAATCAATATTAGTTTCTTTCCAATGCTCCTACTTGAAATAATTATATTCCATTTCCTAAAACTAATCAATCGTCATTCAATGATTTCAACTTATGTACCCACATTTGTGTGCAACAGGAGCTGTTAGAAGAGATAACAAACTAACATATCTTCACACTGGACAGTAATAAAGAGATGTGTATCTGACGTATATCAAAGGAAAATCTATGGTCATGTTGCTTCATTAGAAAGCAAATGTAAAAATATTGCACAGCATGCATGACAGAAAACAAACAAACACAACCCATCCCCTCCCCTCCCTTTGGGAATTCTTAAATTTATTTTGAAAATATGAATTTTGTCATATCTATGTAATATCCATGATGATAAAATGTATCAATTTTATGTTTCAAGTTAAATATCCTTAGACCTGCTGAAATCAAAAGTGACAAGCCACTGCAAACAGTGCAGAACCAGGTAGGCCTGGCACATCCATGCTCTATACTGCTGGTAGCTTGATTTTTGTATTTCAATACTGAAAACCCTTTATCTTTGAATGGACTGTTCCAAATTCAAAGCAGGGCAAATTCAATAATACAAATTCAGCAGGGTAAGTAATGAATAAGATTCCACAAAAATAAAGCTTAAAATGAAGGCAAGGATATAGTGGGAATAATTAGTGAAATGTAAGTGCCAGAGTTAATTACATTCTTACTTAATATAGCCTTTACTCCTATATAAAATGATCTTGCTAGAACTTACTTTCATACCTACTTAAACATTGTCATTGGATCAAGCTTTCAATGCTACTTTAACTTAGCATAAATTCTTTACTTTAAATACTCAAATTGGTTCCTCTTGATGCCACATAAAGGAAGTACCTATGCTTCACCTAAATTATTTACCTCCTCTTGAAGCTACTTAAAATATCTAATTTTCACCTTAGTTCTTTGTTTCCTCTTAAGGCTACTTAAGGGATATATATATGCTTTATCTAAATTCTTTACCTCCTCTTGAAGCTACTAAAAGTATCTACACTTCACCTAAATTCTTTAACTTTTCATAAATCTACTTAAAGCTACTGTCCTATACAAAATGGGTCTAAAACATCAACAAATTTGTTTAAAGCTATCAAATATACATAGAAGTAAAATTTGCAGTTCCACAAGGTAACGGTTATTATGTTTCACTTGAGGCAAATATAAACACCCGTTATCACACCGGTTAACATGCAACAAGCAGGACAGCTTGATGCAGGTAGAACTAACTATATAAATGTCAGTTTTAAACCGGAATAATAATATCTGTCATATGTTGCGGTTCGGACCGGAATATCCCATTGGGCGGTAACGAGGCTTGCCGAGTTACCGCCCATGGGCGGGTTCCCAAGGGATGGATATTCCGATCCGAACCGCAAACATATGTAAGATATTTTTTCTTGCATATTCTGCCATTTTATTTCATATTTAAAATGTTCTACCTCAATATGATATATGTTCATGGAAATTAAAGTCATTTTATCCATTACTATTTTCTTACAATAGCGCATGAACTTACAACTTTAATAACAACGGCGAAATGACGTCATCCTAAGTACATATTTCCGTTCTAAAATGATGTCATTTTAACGCGGTTCATTCATTATGTGCGCTAAAATGACGTTGTTGTTTGGCACGCGACTCATCTGGCACCCCCCATGCCAGATAAAATTTCTGGCATGGGTAAAACTCACAGAAACGCCAGTCTGCTATGCAAGAATACCAAGATATGTTATTCTTTTTTTTTAGTCTCTTTTTATAGATATAATTTTCTCTGATATATTATGCAGCAATTGATTGCCGGATAAAAAACTTACCAAGTGCACAACTGTTCTACCTGCAACCAAAGGATCTACTTGCAACCAGTTAATGGGTGTGTTTATAATTTAAGTCAATATTTACAAAATTAAACATTGCAATGGTTAAAAGTTACAGCATAATAAACATTGCAATAGTTTACCTCAAAGTTTTTTTGTCGGACAAGACATGTATAAATCATCTAGTTAAATATAAATGTACAAGCCTGTGTTGAAATTTGATCTTGTCATGATATTTTATTTCAAAAATGCCCAACCTACAATGTGTGGGATAGTAGCTTTAAAGTGGATAGCTATGCTTTGTCTAAGTTTCTTTACTATTCATAACTTAGCATTTCTATTTAAACTAAATCTTACTATAGCTGCTTGAAACAAGTGTCAATCTTGTACCTAACATCCATAACTACTTAAATTGAATATTTTCACTGAAAATAGCCTTAAAAGCTACTGATACTCAGCACGTAATTACTTAACGTAATATAATACAATGTACTAAAAAATTGAGGGATATGCATTTTTTACAGATTTCCTAACTTTCTGATTTATTTAATATATCTCACACACAGCTTTAACAATTACCATATATAAATAATTTGTCACACTATTTACATTTCATTTAATATGCCAATATACAGTTTAAAATCTCATCTGCAGAAGTACTGGAGCTGTCAAAAATATGATACAAACCTTGGAATCGGACTTATCTTTAGAACTTCTTTCACTGTCTTTATTTGTTTTTTCTCTTGATCTACGACTACTTCTTTCAGGACATTTATCGGCCTCATTTTTGGAACTGTGAATACCCTTGGAAGAGGCAAAGCTTTCTGTAGAAATTTTGTCTTTCTGTTGGCTGGGCTTATCAGTTTGAGCTACTGAGGTTCCACCTGCATCAACTTCATCCACTGTTACAAAATCATCAGGATTGAAGTCCATATCAAAGTCTTCTTCCTCAGCAGTGTCTATTGCTGGAGCCTTCTCATCTTCTTTATGTTCATCTACAGTTATAAAATCACCACCAAGGAAGATTTCCTCTATGTCTTCATCATCATCTTCATCCATTGGAAAGTGTGTGATACCTAATGGTGGGTTATCACCTTCTCTGTCAATCTCAACATTTTCAGGTAATGTCATTTCAGTATTCTCTTTAATTTCGTTAGCTCCATTATCTTTTTCTTTGACAATATCTTTATGTGTATCAGCTATATTGTCTTCTTGATCAGTGTCTTGTGCAGTAGTGGTAATACTCTGCATTTTCTCAGTATTCTTTTCAGGAGGAAGAACTTTATCTAAGTTTGCACTTTGGTCCGTTTTCTCTTTATTAACTTCTGGTTCATTGTAATTTATAACAGTAGCTTCTTCTTCTGTATTGTTATCTTTTGTTTCATCAACAGTCTCAAACTCTTCGTCAAGCATGAACTCAATATCTTCATTGTCATCATAAGGATCAGCCACGCCTGCCTCTTTAGGAACATCTGTCTCGAGTACTGAAGGTTCCATACTTATTTCCAATACACACACACTACTTGATTGTTCACCTTTGATTTCATCAGTTTTCTCTTCTCTTTTAGTTGTGTCCACGTTCTGTACATTCAAACTTTGCTTTTTAGGTGTTTTTATCATGATAGCTTCACTTATTTCTTTATACTTTAAATCAACATTCATTTTTAATTTTGCATCATTTTCAGATTTTAGATCTGAAACAGCAGATTGAGTATCATCAATATTAGTAATTTTACTATCTAATACCTTATGTTTACTAAGTTCGTCTCTAGTGGGTCTATCAATGGACCCAGTCTTATTTTTTCCATTAGGTTTGGGAATATTATTACTTTCACTTATCTCAACAGATACCTCTGTTACATCTACTTTAGACTCATTTTCTGGTATATTGCTATCTTCATTTGTGAGAGAAGGTATGCATATTTCAATTTCAGTTGGTGAATTTTCATCTGCATCATCTACAGTGACAAAGTCCTCACCAAGCTGAGATGCAATAAAATCATCAAAATCTGTTGGCATTGTTATGTCATCTGTATCTTCAAGTGAAGCAGATTTTGTCTCTATTTCATCTCCAGCTTTCCAGTTATCAACTATATCTATGCTTACTTCTGTTGTCTGTGACACACAGTTTTCCTTATCCAACATTATCTCATGATGTTCACTACTTGAACTTTCACTCCCTTTTTCATGTTTCTTTTCATTATTACTTTTTATTTCAATGGTTATGTCACACTCTTTTTCAACTTTGTTCTCTGGTACAGAAACTTGTTTTATACTTTGTGGTGCTCCATTTGCGTTCTTCACAGTTTCACTTCTTTTCATGGCTGAGGGCTCATTAGATGACAAACTTCTTTCATTATCATTTTCATTTGATTGTATACTTATGTTTACTATTGGCTTTTCATGCGGTTTAAGAACTTGATTTATTTTACTTTCAGAATTATTCTTCTTCACTGGACTAGTCATAACTATTTCAACAACACAATTCTCTGGTGCCGCATCTGATTCCTTTACAATGCCTTTTTCACAGACTGACTTATTTACAATCTGATTAGGAACATCTATCTCAATCTTTGTCAGATTTTCTATATTTACAGTGGAATTCTGTTCGACATTCTCATTTATTTGTCCTTCTCCTAGATTTGGTTCATTTTCCTTTGCTGTAATTACAACAACATTCTTTACTTGATGCTTTGTCTGATTTTCTATATTTACAGTGGAATTCTTTTCAACATTCTCTTTTATTTGTCCTTCTCCTAGATTTGGTTCATTTTCCTTTGCTGTATTTTCAACAAGATACTTTACTTGACTCTCATCTGTATTTGCTTCTTTTTCAGGTGCAACAATTTCATCACTCTTTTCTTCCCTGGGATTAATCTCGTCAACAATATCTTCAATGTCTATAAAATCATCATCTTCTTCCATCTGTTGTTCTATAGACTTGCTAATTAATTCAAGCTCATCTATGCTCAAACTTTCAACATTCATGACAGTTTCAGTTTCATCCAAAGTGTCATTTTTGGTGTCTACAATCAACTCTTTATCTTTAGAAACATGTTTATTACTGTCACCATGCTTCCCAATGGCAGATTCTTTATCATTACTTTTATTTTTATCAAAGCTTGCTTTATTGGCAGCAGAATTCTTTTCATTGCCTTTTTGAGTCCTGGATTCTTCTTTACTGCCTGCCTTGGGTGATTTTGTTCTAGATGTTTTTGAATCTGTCCTATCTCTACTTCTTGATCTTCTCCTTTTTCTTGAATGGTCATCTTTATTATCTCTCCTGGTGTCTCTGTCTGCAGATCTTCTCCTTCGGTCTCTAGAATATTTATCATCATGTCTAGTTCTAGTTGAATGTCTCGAGCTTCTTCTATCTCTACTTCTACTTTTGGATCGTCTTCTCTCTTTACTCCTTCCACTTTTCTCATCACGCCTTTTTGAATCTGATACCTGTTTCTTATTGGAATCTTTATTATCATCAACCTTAGGTTTTAAATCACTACTGGCCTCCTTAGTTACAGCAGCTGAGACACTCCTTTCATCATGAGCCACATTATCTTTATCAGATGATTTTGGAATCCTAACCCAAGCTGGCAGTTTCTTCTTAGGTTCCTCCATAGTTTTGTTCTCTCCTTGTTGAGTTGACATACTACTAGATGCAAGTTGAGCGGAGTTGTTTGCCTGCTTTGGAGTCTTGGATTTTGGAGATTCGTTAGTTGTCCCAGTATTTCTGTAATTAGTTATTCAACATGATTTAATTAAAATGTGCTCAAATGGGATTCGTTTTCAGAATGAGTAAAACAGTATTCAGCAAACAAATAAAACAGCAATTCATCAGTTTTGACCAAGTATGATTTCAATCATCTTAATATTTTGTTCCTGTATGCTATTTGTATTTCTTTTTCCTTCATTTTTCAACATGATAAGCATGAGCATTCTATGCACTTTCTTTATACTTGTAGTTTAAAGGTCTCATCAATTAAAACCTAGTTTACAAATCAAATCCTTTTTGTTGGGTTCTAAGTCATACCAACACTGTAATGGTTATAAGGCAACTTCACAGCTTTACTGATGGAGTAAAATGACAAGTCCCTGCTTTTTTTTCTGGTGGAGGAAGACATCAGGTGCTTCTCAATGCATTTTTCAGGAAAACAAGCATCTGAGGTCTTCCTCTGCTCGTAAGGCTGGAAAGTTTTAACGTTTTATTTTTTCAAGTTTTAACTTAATGAGACCTTTATACAAACAGCTATAAAGAAATTGCCTATCAGTGTACACAAAAAATGTGTGTTTAGCACAAATTTCAAATGCAACAACTGAAATATTCATTAATATTAAGTCAGAAATAATTTTGAGCTTGACTTTAAAACGATAACATTATGTTATGTCTTTCTCTATTTTATTTCAAATATTTCATGCTTTTTATGAAAGTTTGCCTCATTTTCAAAATGTCACATTCAGCTGCAAAATGCTAATTAATACAAATGACACATGCAATCTTGCAATCAAAAATTTATTTCAAAAATCTCAGGAGACACTAAGCTTATGAAAGTCTAGACCAAATCTTTGGAATATTTTAATTGACCATTTGCCCTGGCCATTTGAAAACTGCTACTTGGTCAAAAACTGATGATCTGTTTTCAGTTTGCAGTTACATACCCTTTCAATGTCCATTTAACAGCAATCTAACAGTAAAATCCCTATTTCTTGTCTTTTTACTTACCAGAAGTCATTACCAAAACCACGTTAATGTAATTTAAATTTGTTAAGTTGTGTTAATGTTGTTTGTGTATAAGAGAGAACATATCCATAACTTGTTTGTTTGTCTGTAAACAAACAAGTCAAAAACATAAATGATGATCAGTCTGTTCAAGTTTTATTATTATAGATGTATGCATACAACTGCCATGTGCCATTGTTGATTCACTATACTCGATCACTAAAGCTTTGCCCAAATTTGAATCGTATCCTTAACTGTAAGATCATAATACACCATCAAAGATCTCATTTCTAGGTTTTGTGTGCCATTTTTTAAGAGGGAAACATATTTGGGGCAACATAAAAAATCATTGTTTTTTTTTTCATATAACAATAAATTTGAAAATGCAATATGTGTCCCAGCACTGATCTTTAAAAAACATTGAGAACTTTTAACATGTTAAAAACTTTTTTATTCCCACAATTTCAAAAAAATGTTAGTAAATTGTAAACATTAACTGCTTATACAAGACAAAAGTTTTGTTTAAAAAGGGAAAATTTTGGCTTAGATATAAATGAACTGAATTCTTTAAAAAAAAGCTTTTTTGTTATTTAACAAAGCACAAAAAATTATAAATTTAAAAAAACTTTAAATTTAAAGGATAGAAATTTTAGAAAAACCATCCCCATAAGACATTAAAAATACAAATTCAGAGTTTTGTACTTGGGATTGGGATATTTTAGTGTATAAACAATTTAGATTGGGAATTTAGATAAAAATAAAAAGGGAATGTGGGAATGCACAATCATTTGTATCCATTTTGACCAATGGAGCCCTCTTATGCAGCAACAATAATGGTAAAACCTCTAATAAATGCCCATTAATGAAATCCATTGTATTAGTTATTAAAAATCAACACAAAAACATGCAATATTTTAAAACAAGCTATCAACTGCAAATTAATTTACAAAAAAAAAATCAATAAAATCTACAGAACATTTTATCATTTGCAATCTAAGTGCACATTGACTTAATTAATTAACTAAAAAAGTGAGAGCATGTTTGTGATAGATTGACTTTAGTTTTGCAGAATGATTGTGGATTTTTTTTCTTCAAAAAAGCTAAAATACTTACATCTGAGCTGTTGGATTGAAACCAAACTTCAACTGTACATCAGTGCCTATAATTATAATTCATCATATAAAACCAATATGACACTGAGCAAATAACAGAATACTTTCTGACTTTTTGTAAAATATGTAAAATTCATGAGAATTTTACAGTAAATAATTTCAAAGCAGACTTATCAATATATTACCATTACTTTATTGGTTAGATTTAACATCACACCAACAATGTAAAGGTCATACGGGGACTTTCCAGCTTTTATGATGGAGGAAGACCTCAGTTACCCTCAATGCATTATTTCAGGCTTAACTAGGCATCTGAGTAGAACCACCAACATTCTGTTTGATAGATGTATAAGCTTCCTTACATGAAAGAATCCAAAAGGCCCAAGCAGGATTCGAAACCACAGCTGTGAGGGGCAAATGGTTTGAAGTCAACAACCTTAACCTTTGGCCACAGACTTATACTGGATACAGAAAGCAGAAAATATCAAATCCATTACTTATATATTTTACTCTCATAAATTTGCACAATGCCATAGAGTAGAACAAAACCCACCTTGGGCAATCTTCTCTTCCTCTGCCAACATTTTAAGTTCTTTCTCTGAGGGAGGTAACTCTAACATGACACTTATGCTGAATTGTTTCCCTTCCTTCTTAACAACACCCTGTGCCAGAGTCTCCACTTTGGACATCAAACTTTCCATGGTGTCAAACTGTTTTTGTTTCAGCATGTCATGTAAAACAGGATGATTTTTCTCCTGTAAATCAAATATAACATACATGTAGATCAAGTAAATGAGTAGAACCACCAACCTTCTGTAAGATAGCTGGAATGCTTGTGAACATGTAATCAAAAAAGAAGTTTTAAGCAAATATGCAAACATTAATAAAAACTTAAGGCAGCATGCCTCCAAATCCATGCTCTCCAGCTTCATGTAATTTTCATAAAATTTTAAAAATGTATCTTAAAGTTAAATATTACGGAATTAGAAAAGGAAAAAAAAAATGAACATTGCAAACAACAATTAAACACGTAAATTACCCAAAAGTGATCAAAATAAGAAAATAATGCACTCACTGCATTAGTAACGCAGTAGATATATACGTGATAAAAACTGCAAAATTAGTACCCTAAATTACAATTATCATGTAAATTATTACTAGAATCTTAAATCTTTTTACTTTTCTTAAAATCCTAGTATATTTTCCTCAAATTAAATATTCTCGAAATATTTTGGCTCATCTGGAGGCACGCAGCTTTAAACCTCACATGGAAAATTAATTGCCAATGTGAGATAATATGATAAAGACCTACGAGATAAAGAATCCTGTGTTTAAGAGATACAATATGAGGTGTTATAGCCTTCCAGTTGATCCTGTCCTGACACATCTCACACATATACCATGGCTCTGCACTGATATCCTTCTGCTGAAACTCTGTCATCATTTGTAACCCTGAATTATATGTATGTCAGCATACCATTGAATAATACAAAATAAATTGATGTATTCATAAAATGGAATATATATACTAGTTTGATGGATTAACAAAATGAAATTTACATAGTAGTTTGAGTCCATGGAATTAACAGAGTAGTTTGAGTCCATGGAATTTACAGTTTGATGGCATCATAATTTCCAGAAAATACTAAATTCCTAGATGAATTGTTAAACATTATCCAACTTAGTCATCACTGATTGCATATTTTGGAAATTATAACTTTCATGAAACACATACATATTTTCATATTTTGATATCAATGGAGATGTCCTGCAATATACGAGGGTTGTCCCAAAATGTCGTAGACTATATTATTTTGTCTTGAAACCGACATGATCTCTTTATAAAATTTACCAGATATCTTTGTTGGTCATTTGTGAATTTAGATGTACATGTAAGTCAGAAATCATGATGGCTTTTACAAATGAAATGTACTTACCAATGAGTGGATAGTTACTAAAGGTTGAGGTATAATTCATCATAAATTTGGACTTCCTAGCACAATTTACAATTCCACCAAGCTCCATCCTTTTCTTAAGTCTCTCTAAATAAATAATAATAATAAAATTTATAACATGTTTTCATCAAACAGTAAAATTATTAAAACATAATTTCACAGTAGCCATAGTAACTGTTTTTTGGAGGTGGATTAAAGAATATATTATAAATGAAAGGGAATTCACATGGAATATACTCCTTCACAAGTAAATTGTATTGTAAACTTATGTCAGGATGGGGAAAATAAATACAATTCTTTTACAGTTTTTCTAAGTTTATAACAAGTATTTCGGCAACAACAGTGTCCAGTGAGTAAATAGTAACTGGATATAAATACATACCAACTGACAAGTTTGGATAACAATGTCGTTTGTAAGATGTTTACTGTATTTGAACTTTGGCGGTTTTTAAACTTTATTTACATTACTTGGAGGTCAAAACCGAAGTGACAACATTGGTTGGATTCCGACTTTTATAACGTTTGATGTTTGAAATCCACCAATGAAACAACAGAAATCCAAAAATCCTCAATGGACAGAAGGCCAGATTTCTGAATCTGAAATCTTGGATTTCAGTGGCGGCCATATTGAAATCTCATATAAAATCTAGATACGAAAATCGTTAATATACAAAAACATGTAGTGAATACTTAAGGATTTCGGACCTTAATCAATCATAAACTTTACATTAATTACGTTCTTGAATTCTTGAATCTTGTTCTTGTAGAAGTCAACAAATTATGAAGCTATAGGATTTCACAATGTCACTTGGATTTCATTATAAGTTCTGTTGTAAGTACATTTCAGAAATATGCTAGAATGTCAGATCCATACAGTATGCATACGATATGGTGGAAGCACAGAAATATTTGCACACATCATGACAAAAAAGTAACAACATCCAATTGAACAGAGCAACATGGACATTGTGACATCATAAAGGAGAGTATGAAATAAGTCAATAATAACAATGACTTAAAACAACTTTAAAAATCATGAAATTAATAGCAAATCAGTTTGCTTTGCATATCAAATCAAATGATATTTCATTATAAACACCAGCTGTTATATTTTAACTTGTGGCATGAAAATATTGCATCTGATGTTCACTTCATGAACTACAGTTAGGTCATACATGCAAAACAAATAAACATTTACATCTCATTGAAAAAAACTAAATAAATACAAGACCGGTATTGAAATAACACTAAATCACAAATTAAAAGGAATGTAAACTAAATATATTTACTGTGTTCTGTGTCCCAGTCAAACAGAGGGTCTTCTCTTCTAGACACTGAAAATTCACAGACAAACAAAATTTATCACATATCTGTGCCGTTTTTGAGAAGCCGTAAAAATGGATTGCACAACCATGCATTTATGTGGACATGACATCTCTTACATTATAAACATAGTGTAAAGATGTGCTAATTGTTAGCTTTACACTACAGGCAAGCCAATGCAAAAATGATTCTTTTTTACCTTAAATAGTCTTTTTTTTTGGGTATGTGACAAATAGAATATTATAACCCTTTTAGTTTATGGTTGAGAATATTTTTAACAGTTTGGGAAAAAGATACTATTTTCGGGTCTAAACGAAATTTGGACCTAACATTAGCTAGAAAATTAACAAAAATCAAAAACCTGTCATTTACTTATCACCTGTCTCTTATTATTTTTAACTTACTTGCCAAAAATATTTATTCAATTACTAAACATGTAAAAACTGGGAACATAAACATGCATGTTAATAAAACTTCAAGTCTTATAATGCTACTGATCTTATTTGCATTTTAAACTCACTTATTTCATCAAAATTTACTGGTCCACTTTTATTTCCATCAGGACTAACTCTTGAACTTGTCGTTGGTCCACCAGATTCTGAACTTTGACCTGTCAGATTTTGTACATACTGTCCCGACTGCTGATTGGGTATTGTTGTTGTTGTTATTGTTGTCTTGGGAACCACGTTTGTAGCAGGAGTAGTAGAAGCTGTCTCAGGTGCGTTTTCAAAGGTTTTTGACAGTTCTTTCCAGGTGATATTTGCTTCTTTCAGGTAGGCATCTATTAAATCATATAAAGGAATTCAATTTTTTAACTGAACAAAGGAAAAATGTCTAATTTTATCAGCTAAACACATTTGCTATATATATTTATATTTCTTTTAAAGTATAAAAAAGGGCATGCTTCTAAATTTAAAACATAACAGCTTAACTACAATGTATTTACTTCATCTACAGTCCTTCATACACTAAATTTAAAATACAATCAGCATGAAAGTTTAAGGAATCTGGAACAGTTCATTAGAAAATTAAGGGATTTCAATACAAAAACAAGCAAATTCGTTGAATTTATATCCCCCGTCGAGTACTGGTTATTATTAACACAACAACTGAAGACATAAGGCTTTATTTATATATTAATCACGGCATAAACAGTAATATTCTTTGAACTTGATAAATATTCAGGGCAATAACAGAGCCATAACTTTGTGTTAAATAGTAAAATCTGGAAATGCCAATGAGATGTATGCATACTACATAACTAATCAAGGGCCATAAATCTGAGTTATAAGTATCTGACTGGAACAAGGCGACTATATGCACATCTCCTCTTAGTATCCCATAAATTTTCATTGAATTCCAGCCAGTAGTAGCAGAGAAGTAGCGAAGAAACAAATATTTTTCAATATGGATACTGCATAATCAAGGGCCATAACTCTGAGTTTAAGTGTCTGACCGGAACAAGCCGACCATATGCGCATCTCCTCTTGGTATTGAAGGTTCCCATAAAGTTTCGTTGAATTCCAGCCAGTAGTTGCAGAGAAGTAGCGCGGAAACGATTTTTACTCCATATGCATACTGCATAACTAATCAAGGGCCATTACTCTGAGTTAAAGTGTCTGACCGGAACAAGCCGACGATATGCGCATCTCCTCTTGGTATTGATGATTCCCATAAAGTTTCGTTGAATTCCAGCCAGTAGTTGCAGAGAACTACTCTGGAAACGACTTTTACTCCATATGCATATTGCATAACTAATCAAGGGCCATAACTCTGAGTTAAAGTGTCTGACCGAAACAAGCCGACGATATGCACATCTCCTCTTGGTATTGAAGGTTCCCATAAAGTTTCGTTGAATTCCAGCCAGTAGTTGCAGAGAAGTAGTGCGGAAATTTTTTTTTACTCTATATGCATACTACACAACTAATCAAGGGCCATAACTCTGAGTTAAAGGGTCTGACCGGAACAAGCCGACGATATGCACATCTCCTCTTGATATTGATGATTCCCATAAAGTTTCTTGAATTCCAGCCAGTAGTTGCAGAGAACTACTCCGGAAACGACTTTTACTCCATATGCATATTGCATAACTAATCAAGGGCCATAACTCTGAGTTAAAGTGTCTGACCGAAACAAGCCGACGATATGCACATCTCCTCTTGGTATTGAAGGTTCCCATAAAGTTTCGTTGAATTCCAGCCTGTAGTTGCAGAGAAGAAGCGCGGAAACGATTTTTACTCCATATGCATACTGCATAACTAATCAAGGGCCATAACTCTGAGTTAAAGTGTCTGACCGGAACAAGCCGACCATATGCGCATCTCCTCTAGGTATTGATGATTCTCATAAAGTTTCGTTGAATTCCAGCCAGTAGTTGCAGAGAACTACTCCGGAAACGATTTTTACTCTTTATGCATACTACATTACTAATCAAGGGCCATAACTCTGAGTTAAAGGGTCGGACCGGAACAAGCCGACGATATGCGCATCTTCTTTTGATATTGATGATTCCCATAAAGTTTCGTTGAATTCCAGCCAGTAGTTGCAGAGAACTACTCCGGAAACGAAATTCGGACGGACGGATGGACAGATGGACAACGCCAAAACTATATCCCCCTCCCGATTCCATCGGCGGGGGATAATTAAGTGATTTGATGACAATAATCAACAGAATAGAGGATGTTCAGACTGCACAATAAAAGACCTGGCTTTAAACTGGTGGCAAAGGCAAATCACCTCTGATTCCATTAAGATAAGGGTTTATTATAAATACCTAAAAGCATCCTTTTGTTGTTTTCTAGACAGACATGGTAACATGACTCAAATGAAATAACTGGTGTCTTCACACTACGGTACACCCTGTGTAGACTGCTGTAATGTTTTTCCAGATGGACAGCAATTCTGAATATATAGTTGCACATTGTGCATGGATATTCGAAGAAATGGCAATGTTTGTAGTGCAACTCAGCTGTGTTCCCATCTATAAACAAAGTCTGACACCGGTTACATATGTACTTCTTTATACCTGAAGAAAAAAGCAACAGATATTCATTTGTAAATCCAAATAATTAAAGATTATTAATTCCTGAAATTCATTTAACTTGTAATAACTGTTTTGAAAAATATTTTTTTTTTAAAATGTGGAAGAAATGTTCCTGCCGCAAATGCAGTTACTAAAATAAACCTCACACAAAAAAAAACCCAAATTACTTCAACACCTTGCCTTTAACAATCATTAAATAATAATAATATAACATTTTTCTCTCTAAATGTGTACTTAACACCTTTAACACATCACTTAATAAAATTTCTATATAAAGACATATAGTAAGATAGTGCGCTAAATCTTTACTTCCTTCGTGACAAACATTTACATTATCTTCATTTTCGGTCAGGTCTATATTACTACTAGAAATGTGTCCTCACGCCACTGATGCCCCAGCATGTAGCCAAAATTTCAGATGTTATAATATTTAGTTCCAAATTTGTTTACACAAAATATTTTTTTCATTTTAAGTTCATATCCCTTAAAACTATTCAATGTAACACAAACCATTTTTATACAAAGTTCAAGGCACTGAAACTTTTCAGTGTTAAACTTTTGTAAATTGCATATTTGTAGGCAAAATAATGACTACATACACTTCCACAAAAGTATGAGTGCTGAAACTGAAAGTTCAAAATTTTTCCAACATTCAGGAAAGATAACTTTGTCCAAAATCATTGCACCATGACAAAATTCAAACTTGAACTGCTTATTCCTAAAATGTATCTATATGTCAAATTTGAGTTGAATGTGTACAACCATTGGTAAGATAATGAACGAAAACTAAAAATTTCTGATTTTTTTTCAAAGTTCAAGAGGGATAACTCTGTCAGCTATCATCAAACCATGACCAAAATCGAACTTGACCAGTGTATTCTTGTCCATGTCCATATTTTAAATTTGAGTTGAATATGTACAACTGTTGGGGAGATAATGAACGGAAACTGAAAATTTCCTTTTTTTTGCAAAGTAAAAGGCACATTTCTCTGCCATAAATCATCAAACCATGACCAAATTTGAACTTGACCTGTGCATTCCTTTGACGTATCCATATGTCAAATTTGAGTTGAATCTTTGACATATCAATATGTCAAATTTGAGTTGAATCAGTACAACTGTTGGGAGATAATGAACGGAAACTGAAAATTTTATCAAGGTGCATAACTCTGTCAAAAATCATCGGACCATGACCAAATGCGCGCCTGCATTTTCTCATGACATATCCATATGTCAAATTTGAGTTGAATGTGTGCAACCGTTACTAAGATAAAGAACGGAAACTGATGAAGACGGAATGACGGAATTACGAAACAGGGTAACACTATATGCCCAAGCCATTTTATGGCGGAACATAATAAACAAAGGTACTTACCTATTCTAGGTTTACTCTCCTCACTTTCTGTCAAGTCTATAAACTCAGGAGCTTTAGATGAATACACATGAATAAACATTTTTGATAACTGAACATCTGCTGTATAATTGACAACAGGGACATTCTCTGTGATGTTGTGTCGCTTCTGTAAATGCTTCTCCAAAGCTTCATTAGATCCATGTGGAGCATTACACTTTTTACATTGGTAACCTTTGACATGATCGTATATGTAATGTTCTGAAGCCTGTCCAAGGGGAACTACTCTGTTACACTCCTTACACACTAGCTGTAATCTCCCTGTAGGGGCAAACAAGACTGCATTTGTGCAAGCCAATACCACAGCATTCAAAACAATTTAAAGTATATAGCTTTACCTCAAAACCTGAGTTTGTTTGTTTGTTATTTCATATGATAATCTTAATACATTTTTGGTTATATCTTGGCAGTCAGTCCACTTAACCAGTTTTCAAGTAATTGCCAATATTTTCAACAAGAGACCAACTACTAATCACACATGATTTCTGAATCAGCGGTAAAAGACAAATGGCAATTTGACTCTTATGTCTGGGATCAGTTGTCATGAAAATTTTTTTTGCCATACCTGAGGATTTGAACTGTATTACAAACCTAATGCTCTCCTTATAAAGCTGAGCCATTAACTATGTTAAACATTCAAGAAAGTGCAATGACAAAATGGATCTTGAAAAACATTTTCATACTATAGATATATTAGATATTAGACCTTATCATATACGAAAAAGGAAAACAAAACTTTAAAGTCAAACAGGATTTTTTTTTATGCATGAAAGGAAACACTGACATTCCATAAGCTATTCACAGGAAAAAATCGTAACAAATTGTAATCTTGATTGCTATTTCCATATTATTGAATTGATGTGTTTAAGAATTTGCTAAAAATAGATTCCAGGATATCTGCATACAAGCAAAACTATCTTAATGTAACATTGTGGAAATTTAAATATAATAACATGATAATTTAACTTTATATGATTTTCTTTGATCATGTAGAAGAAAATCAACAGTCTACCTGATGTATCAACTGGAAAAGTCTTCCCCCTTACTGCATGCCAGCTAAACCATTTTATCATCTTAAACTGATGGTTCAAGTTAGCGTTTGGTGCCACCTGCTTGGATTTGTGGATCAAGGTCATGTGTTTCTGTAGGTAGAAATGATCCGGGAAAGACAACTGACAAATTTTACACTTGTAACAGCTCACATGTACAGCAATAATATGACTAACTCTCCGTTCCTTAGCTAGTATCATGCCACATTTCTTACACTTATAATGTGGCTGATCCTCATCTGCAATCTGGTTCCCATCATCCTGTTGACTGGTTTCCTGCACTTTAGAATCAGGCAGACTGGTTTCCACACTTGATTTACTCCAGTAGACTGGTTTGTCCGATATAATCTTGGTGATTGACCCTCTACCAACTTTTGATTCTATATCCTTAGTGTGTTTATCTATGGCAATTTTCCTTTGTTCTTCAGTGCTTAGTTGCAATATTTCTGTATAGAGATGGAAGTGGTTTTCCCTCTGAAACAAATTATACAGAAATAAGTTAAAAATGTAAAAATTCTGCTATATACATGTGTAATTTCAATTACAACAATCAACTACCAATTCCCTAACAGGATTTAAACCCATTGTCATTTGACAGGCAAGTGATTTGAAGAAAATGACATTTACCACTTGGCAAAGAAGGCCCCTAAAAATATTCAAGTCTTTAACTTTAATACGTGTAAAAATGCTGGTAAACTTATTAGACTGTACAGATTCACTAGTTTTTTTATCAAGCTCTAGCCATTTTTGCTTGCATTTTGCTTGTTATGTTTTGAGATCAAATCTGCTTCTACATTTTCTCAATCAAGAGGACTACCAGTAAATATATAACAGATTAGTATTTGTATGAGACATAAATATAAAATCAACACTTACAATGAAGTTAAGTCGATGATCTTTGGAGCAGATATGTTTCAATATAGTCTTTGGTTTCAGGAACGGACCATTCTTTATATTACAGACGTCACAATCATAAACTGGTGGATAGTTGAGTGTTGGATGATGGACTTCCTTTATATATTGCAATCCTACATATGAAACATAACATTTTACTACACTGAAAAAAAAAGTCTAATAAAAAAGCATTGACGTCAGCTGAAAATTATTTTCTTCTAATAATTCTTTAAATCATTCTCAAGAACAGGTTCAATCAAACCAAGCCTGCAACATTTTAAATTTTGCTGTTTTGGGCAATCTTTAGAAATTCTGTTTTTCTCTATTCTTTGGCTCTTTTCACATTACTTCATTTGAAATCAATACAAGACTATATCAGTACTTAAAATTAGATATAATAAATAAAAATATCTAAGAAATTGTTGTATTTCAAGCCACCCTGACATTGTATAGGTCAAACTGTAATTTTCCAGTTTTACTGGTGGAGGATGACTTTGGATTCTCATTGTGCAGTATTTCAGGCATAAGTGGGCACTGGGGTATATCAGGTAGAAACATTGACCTTAGGTAAGCCATCTGGATAGCATACGCATATGAAAGAATCCAAAGTGTCTGTCAGGTCACCAACCCACAACAATAAAATGTCTGAGAATCAAATTTGGCAACCTTAACATCTTGGACACTGAAGCTCCCTGTTCCTATAAGACTACTTATTCTTGCGTATCAGACATGATTTTTCTACTGTTTACACAAGAGCTTGAAAAACCCATTTTACACTCATCTGTTATTCCCCCAACCTTTTTGAATAAATTGCATGCTTAGGATGACATAAAACCTACCTAACATTGGAGTACAATCCAGACCTTCAATGATTTTATTAAAAACGATCCCGCCTTCTGGCCGCTCTCCTTCCTCCAGTTGATTATTCATCTCAGCACCTTTGGGCTCTGTCTTCTCTGAAGCATTTTCCTTCTCTTTATGTTGCTCCACTTTTGGGGTCTCTACTGGAGCTGTAAACAAAACAATATCATTAATGCTAACATTCAGTGATTCTTATATAATGTAAAGTTTTTGGATAATACAGTCTTATAAATGGTTATCATTTCATGGTTTTGATAACGAAACATTTGGGTGTTAATGGGCCTTTCAGTCTATAACATGTACTTACAATATTTCAACTGTAAACCTACACCTTTCACCATCTCATCTCTGTTTCTCATAATCTTTTCATACAACATATATATCTTATATGGGTATTCATTTGATTTACATTTTATGCCACATTGAAACTGTAAAGGTCATATGACTTTCCAGCTACACTGGTGCATGAATACAACTCTCCTGTAATCAGGCACTGCATATCAACAAACAACATTCCGGAGTACTGAGTTCCCATATATGACACAGTCCCAGAGAATCAAGCCACAAGTTGTAGGCAAAAGATATCAGTTGGTGACATTAAACACTCAATCACCAGATTTATATGACACACCTGTGTTAAGAGGATTGGCTAATGTACCAAACACTAAATGAAACATATAAAATAATTTAGCATAGTATCATAAATATTACCTTTTACTACTTTCGGTTCAGAATACAACACTGTGCCATCTGCTCTAACCAGAATTCTTTTCTTCACACTGATTGACTCACGACCAAACTGTTGTTCAATCTCATGACATAATTTTTGGGTCTCGTCTCTGTTACCTATAGCTCTACTGTAGAAGACTGGATAATTTGCTTTCTGTAAATTAAATAATCATAGTGAAGACAAAAATGACATTTAATGTATAATCTCAATATTTAAAAGAATACAATGATTTCAATTTTTTTTAAATTGTTCTGAATTCTTTCATACACTCCACATGTATTATATGAACTAATCCAGTAAATGTGCCTCACATTATTTTCTCTTTTTTTTTCATTTTTGGAGCTATGTTAAATTTCTTCACATTCAAAATAGTTTTTTTAAATCTTTTTTTCACTAGTTTTCATCTATGAGCACCAGCAGTGGCTTAGTTGTTACAGAAACTAACTTCATACCACATGCCTAACAGCACAGCAAGTTCAAATCCCTTCAAAGTAAATTTCTATGTTGATTTTATTATTATATTATTATTCATTATTGATAAATCACACCAATTTATTTGCCAAAAGTATACACTCCTTTTTCCTATTGATTAAAACATTAAATCTTACATTAGCAAAATATGAATTGGTCAAGATATTAACTAACACCGTAGCCTGCTAGATTCTCCCTATGTGACCAGTGTAGACCAAGATCACCAGGCACATCTGTGCCATTTGATCAATGTCTGAATCTTTTTGCTGTTTTGTCTATTTATTTTTAAATTTCCCTAAAACTGATGAATAGTTTTGTCCAGAGTGAAAAATGGACAAGTCAATTTAAGATAATTCGCATAATTAGAATTAAACTGTCAAATACATAATTGAGCCATGTCACGACAAAACCAACATAGTGTGTTTGTGACCAGCATGGATCCAGACCAGCCTGCGCATCAGCACATTCTGATCAGGATCCATGCTGTTTGCTATCAGTTTCTCTACTTGTAATAGGGTTGGTAAGCCAACAGCATGGATCCTGATCAGACTGCCCGGATGCGCAGGCTGGTCTGGATCCATGCTGGTCGCAAACCCATTATGTTGGCTTCGTCATGACACGGCTCATATGAAATTTTCAGTCATATAAAACATACCAGATATCTAATCCTATGTTCAGTCTCTGTGATATGGGCATTAATATAGTTGGCAGAAATAAAGGTATCATCACAAAGTTTACACTGGTAACGTGGCGGCACCTTATCAGCACAAATCCCCTGTATCTCAGTGATATAACTCAGTCCTAAAATAATAAAAAATAATTATACTTTATGATCATTGTATATATGTTATATATACATTTATAATTTGAATCACAACTTAACCACATTGGATTTATATTGTACACAAAATCATTGTTATGTCAATAAGAAACTTTTAACACTTTAACACACTCTTACCCAACATTGAACCGTCAAAAAAATCAATTGAAATTTATTACCTATTTATTATAAATGTTCTATTCTATTCTTACCAACAAGAGGGATATCTTGTAGTCCTGCCAGTTTAGAATACAGCAGTGCCGTCGGAGTTTCATACTTCTCCTCTTCTGCCGTTAAATCAATAACCTCTGAACCAGGATCAGCAGCAGACGGTTTACCAGCCTCGGTGGTTTTCTTCGCGGTTTTATTTGTTGTTGCCATGGCAGCTTGTTTAGCTTCATCAAGGGCTTGTTTTTCAGCTTCTGCAGCCTCCTCCACAGCTTTAGCAGCTTCTTCAGCCATTTTTAATGCTATTGTAAAAATAAATACAAAACGGTCAACTGAGGTTTTACAATTTAACATTTATGGTGATGAATTCTCATTTTTAATGCTTTTGGAATAATAAATACAAAATCCTCAACTGAGGTTTTTCAGTTTAACCTTTATGGTGCTGAATTTTTTACTTATTCTGCAATAGATAGTTCCAAACTTTTGCAATATTTATCTCCTCTGCTAAAAGTGGCAGCTATTTTGGGGTCCATTTTATATTGACAAAATATAAAAAGTATCAATATCACTGATTTAGGTAAATTGTCATTTTCTTTCATACAAAAGATGAAAAAATTTATTATTGCACCAGTATGTGAAAGATTTGTATCAGTTTTCATGAAGATGATTGAATTATGAGAGATTTTTTTTTATCTTATCTAAGGCATAATTTATTGAAAATCACCCTTAAAATGTTGGCCAGGGGAGGTAATAATTGCTATGTGAAAAGCATCTATGGACTATGAAGCAAATGACTGTTAATTTAATGCATTTTGATTTCATAATACTGAAACAGAGCATCAAAGTTTTAACAATTTTGACCTTTACCTTAGCCTTGTTCTAGTCTGGAAATTGAAACTGTAGACTGTGAGATTTTAATTTTAAAACACTTAATTTGAACAGCAAACACTATAGATTATGCATATACAGTTATATGACTAAATGACTCCCCCTTGTGTGTTCACAACACCACCCCTATGTCAAGTATATACAGATATATAATATCTGACCATGTATCACACACACTAACATCAACCATATAAAATTTCTTTCGTGATTTGTTGTTATTTTTCATATTGTGATTTCTTGTAATTTTTTATATTTATTACTATAAACATAATCAATTATGGTATTACAGACTTTCCATTGTGGACTTATTCACTTTAAAGCTCCCCAGTGAACTGCTTGTTCAGGTGAACTAAAAATCCACCAAATACCTGCTTTGTCCTGTTCCATCTGAGCTATATTGACTACATAGATGCCCTCAGGTTCTATCAGCTGGCCTTGACACAACAGTTTAGCTTGGTTATGAAGGTAGGATATCTTAGCACTGGTCCCCGTTAACAATTTTAAATGTATCATCTTATGCGAAAAATGCTTCGACTGAAATCAGATCATACTTTGACATGTACCAATCACAGCATCATATACTTGTTGTCAACAAAATGAGTATACTCATTATTTATACATTATTCATTTTCTAGGTTATTTCATTTTTACTGTATTTTTTATCATATAATGAATATGCCAAGTAAATACACTGTAACTATATACTTTTAACAGCCAGAGGTGTAGGTTTAGCAGGTACTGCATCTTCTTTTCTTTTCTTTCTTTTTCGTAATTTTATGCACTTGTAACAATAACAATTTTTGTGCCCTCTAAACCAGTCCAAAAAAATTGCTAAGAGATAAAATTTAAAATACCAATGCATTTTGTAAATTAAATATATGCCAAGGAAAATTTGTCACATCATAATCTTGAAATTCTTAACCAAAGCTAGAAAGATGGATGGATAACCAAACTCTTAGCTCTTAATCTAAATCCTGAACCATGATTCGGGGCGTCCGTGGCCGAGTGGTTAAGGTCGTTGACTTCAAAACACTTGCCCTTCAACACTGTGGGTTCAAATCCCGAAAGTGACTTTGGATTCTTTCATGTGAGAAAGCTATCCAGCTAGCTTACAGAACAGCGATGGTTCTACTCGAGTGCCCGTTCGTGCCTGAAATAATGCACAGATGGGCAAACTTTGCAATCGTCAGACACAATTTTCTGGTGTAACGCAATTTTTTACAGTCAGAATTTTTTTTCGATCCACAAACAACCAAACATTGCACTTCTGTATAATTATTAATAAATCTATGTCATACATACCAGATACTTTTCCATGTGTCTGACACCAACCAGGTGGGCATAAATGTGTTGTGTGCCTTCCACCTTTTTAGATGGGAAGCAAAGCTTGCATGAGTATGTTGTAGTCTTCAAATTATGACATAATCCCTGGATCTCTGTGATATAGCTCAGACCTATGATATATATAATGCACGCTAGTTGTAGAACTTCATTAAACTTTATTTGTTTAGGTTTAAAGACCCACTTAGCCTCAGAAATGCAACCATTTTTTATTTTTTTCAAAACGTTTTTATTTTTATTTGACTTTTTTATGGTTTTTAAAATGTTACAAATTGTCTGAATCTATTCCTGGAACAAACAAGTAGTGAGGAATGCCTGTAGAGTTTGAACCCATGGGGCTAATAATTCTTAAATTACTAAACAAATATGTTAACTAAACACATATGCCACCACTACAAATGCATTTACCAAGCAATTTAACATTGGTTCCAAGTTCAAACAACTAACCTGGCAATAGAACAAATTGCAAAGTTCAAACCTCCTACCTAGCAATTAAAGTTCCAGGAAGTTAAAAACTCCCACTTAGCAATGAAAGTTCTAGGAAGTTAAAACCTCCAACCTAGCAATGAAAGTTCTAAGAAGTTAAAACCTCCAACCTAGCTATGAAGGTTCTAGGAATTAGCAATGGAAAATCTGTAAAGTTCAAACCACCTACCTAGCAATGAAACTTCTAGAAAGTTAAAACCTCCAACTTAGCAATGGAAAATCTGTAAAGTTCAAACCACCTACTTAGCAATGAAACTTCTAGGAAGTTAAAACCTCCCACTTAGCAATGGAAAATCTGTTAAGTTCAAACCGCCTACCTAGCAATGAAACTTCTAGGAAGTTAAAACCTCCAACTTAGCAATGGAATATCTGTAATGAAACTTCTAGGAAGTTAAAACCTCCCACTTAGCAATGGAAAATCTGTAAAGTTCAAACCACCTACCTAGCAATGAAACTTCTAGGAAGTTAAAACCTCCCACTTAGCAATGGAAAATCTGTAAAGTTCAAACCACCTACCTAGCAATGAAACTTCTAAGAAGTTAAAACCTCCAACTTAGCAATGGAAAATCTGTAAAGTTCAAACCACCTACCTAGCAATGAAACTTCTAGGAAGTTAAAACCTCCGACTTAGCAATGGAAAATCTGTAAAGTTAAAACCTCCCACTTAGCAATGAAACTTCTAGGAAGTTAAAACCTCCCACTTAGCAATGGAAAATCTGTAAAGTTCAAACCACCTAGCAAGCAATGAAACTTCCAGGAAGTTAAAACCTCCAACTTAGCAATGGAAAATCTATAAATTTCAAACCACCTACCTAGTAATGAAATTCTAGGAAGTTAAAACCTCCCACTTAGCAATGAAAAATCTGTAAAGTTCAAACCACCTATTTAGCAATGAAACTTCTAGGAAGTTAAAACCTCCCACTTAGCAATGGAAAATCTGTAAAGTTCAAACCACCTACCTAGCAATGGAACATCTGGTTTCTGTTGAATATACTTAAACAGCTCAACTGTCTCTTTCCCATCAACAAACTTGACTAATTTTGCAGCTGCCTTAGCTTCTTTGATTCGGGCCGCATATCGCTTATTTCGTTCGTTCTTTGCAGACTCCCATTTTTCTAGATTAAACTGATACTGTACTTTGGTCTCAGGTTTATCTTCTGTCTTGTCCGCCTCAACTTCAACTGGTTCTTCTTTCTTGTCAGCAATTTCACTTGAAGATACTGCAGCTTCTTCTTCTTTTGTAACAGTATTTTCTCTCTTTGGAACCTCAAACTCCTAAATTTATGTATATTTTAGAAACATCCGAAAAAAAGCTTGACATGAAAATTTACCAACCTTGTTACAACCTGCACATGATATTTATTCCCCAATCTAACATTTCTAAATTTGTGAACTTACACTAGTCCTGACTGGAATAAAAAAATATATAAAGTAGTGCATTAAAAAGTTTTAGGGCATTGAATATTCAAGCTGAGGAGGTGGCAATATAAAGTTTTGTCACACTATATAGATATTCAGGCTGGCCAACCTCTATACTGTTGATATTATAGGCTAATAATACTCTGTGTTAGTTGGGGGAAAAAGGGCACCTGTATAATAATTGAGTGGTTCCCCTGGTGATATCAACATTTATTTTATCCATACAAGCTCCTAGAAGAGTCGAAATAGAGTGATTTTTCACATGGTAATGATGAATTTTGAGAGAAAAATAATATACATAATCAAAACTTCAATAATGATGCATAACCTTCAAAATAACTCTTGAAAATTAACAGATTTCTTGAGAGTGTCCATACATACTGAATTTAGTTAACCAATTGAGTTAAAGTGATTACTACTAGCATACTAGGCTGTGTTTTATATAAACAAGAACTGTCGGAAGACAGTAACGATCAACTATTCGAAAATTTGTCACAAGGGTGTTTCATTGAGTATAATAATGCTTACCTATATGAATACATAAAATTGTCCGAAAAGGTACAAACCCTTCAAGTTTCAATACATTCCCTTCAGTAGTTATGGAGATACAAGCTTACACACAAAAACTTAACCAATAATTTATGAATCGAAAAAGGGGCATAATTATGCGAAACAGTAAATCAGAGTTATGGGACTCGTGCCAATCATCTTAGATAATCACAGACAACAAGAATGTGAAGTTTCAATCCATTCCCTTCAGTAGTTATGGAGATACCAGCTTACACGCAAAAACTTAACCAAGAATTTCTAAGTCAAAAAAGGGGCATAATTATGCAAAAAAGCAAATCAGAGTTATGGGACTTGTGCCAATCATCTTAGATAATCACAGAGACCAAGTGTGTGAAGTTTCAATCCATTCCCTTCAGTAGTTATGGAGATACCAGCTTACACGTAAAAACTTAACCAAGAATTTCTAAGTTGAAAAAGGGGCATAATTATGTAAAAAAGCAAATCAGAGTTATGGGATTTGTGCCAATTATCTTAGATAATCACAGAGAACAAGTGTGTGAAGTTTCAATCCATTCCCTTCAGTAGTTATGGAGATACCAGCTTACACGCAAAAACTTAACCAAGAATTTCTTAGTCTAAAAAGGGGCATAATTATGAAAAAAAGCAAATCAGAGTTATGGGACTTGTGCCAATCATCTTAGATAATCACAGAGAACAAGTGTGTGAAGTTTCAATCAATTCCCTTCAGTAGTTATGGAGATACAAGCTTACATACAAAAACTTAACCAAGAATTTCTAAGTCCAAAAAGGGGCATAATTATGTAAAAAAGCAAATCAGAGTTATGGGAATTGTGCCAATCATCTTAGATAATCACAGAGAACAAGTGTGTGAAGTTTCAATCAATTTCCTTCAGTTGTTATGGAGATACCAGCTTACATACAAAAACTTAACCACAGGGACGCCGAGAAATGGGTGACTGCATTAGCTCGATTATTCTGCGAATAGTCGAGCTAAAAATGGAATTCTATGTAGTATTTATCACCTGAAAAAGATGAAGACATACAACTTACAACCATACACAAAATGAAAAATTGAAAAAATATTTTTCAATAATTACAGTTGTTCACATAATAATCATTTGACATAGATCCTACCTTATTCATTTCTTTCTCTCGGTCTCTAAACTCTTGTTCTGACAATGACATGACAGTTTTTAGTCCCTCTTTCTCCTCAATGGCTTTAGCATGCCTTGAACACTCTGCATTAAGGACCTTTCTAGATTGGTCCATCTTTATAATGGTGGCGTAAATGTCATAATGATGAACCTCCTGTCAAAATGCACAGAATAGTCGTATAAATAGTCCTCATTTAAGCTTGATTGTTAACATGAAGAAAGCTTGTAATTTATTTGACCCACTCAAAGTTCCACTCAGATGAACTTACCAGTGGTGTTGTTATATGTGTAAACATTACTTTTTGTCTTTTCATAAAAAAAACAATAACTGGTTAGTTGATGTTTCATACCAAATATCTAAGCTTTTTCAATGGCCTCAAAAGAGATGACTTTTAAAGAATTTAAAAGAAAATGCCATAACCCTTTTTTGCGGGCTAATTTTGACCCCAGGGTTATTATTTGTACAAGCTTGGGAGAGCTCCACTTCATAATGTTTCATGCCAATTATCTAAGCTTTTGTCGTTATAGTTTCAGAGGAGATGATTTTTAGAATATTTATCTTTAAAGCGCCATGGCAACCAGAATTTTGCATGGACTGAATTTTTTTTTAACAACTTTAAAAGAAGATCACAAAGGATCACAAAGATCATTCCTAGAAAGTTTTGATATTACTGACCTGGTGGTATAGGAGATGACCCGGTGGTATAGAGATGTTGTTCAAAGAGAAGTGTGGGCTGACAGACAGACACCAGACAATAGACAGTGAATGATTATAATAGCTCACCTTGAGCATGTTCTGCTCTAGGGAGTTAAAAACAACAACATGCGGAGTCCCTTTAACTAAATACAAGGTTCACTTACCAAATACTTCAGTCTGTGTTTATAGCCAGTAATATGGTGAACTATTGATGTTGTAAGGCATTTCACATTACATAGTACACATCTATACATGTGAGCCTTCCATGCCTTTTCTGGAATACCTTCTACAACATACTGCAGACCTGAAAATGAAATAGAATTATACTACAACCTGTACAGAGCAACCACCTTAAAGCAGACAAAGATTTTGGTTATTTTTGAGAGGTATTGCTCTAGAAAGGTTAAAATGACATTATGCTCATTTTTTTCATACTGAAGTTGAACAAAATTTACAGGATTTTTTAAACCATTGTGATTGACAAACAGTTGATATTTGAAAATGTTGAGGATTAAATTAAATTCTGCCTAAAATATAAAAAGACTGCCCCACTCATTTTTTTATGACTTTAACATTACAGGTAAATTGCAATTGATACATACAGAAATTTCCTTGGGTCATGTGAGTTATTTATCGTTCACGCCAAGTAAATTTTAAAATTGAAAAGAATAATGGCAAAATGTAAACTTATTTTGATTTTCACCTGTTGACACACTATATATCATAGGGTGAGCATAATTTGTTAAGAATGTTTAATTTTGAAAAAAATAATGCTGTTGTAAAGAGGTATTTGTTCTTCAGAAGGCTGCTATACACAGATTATACTGTATCAAATTTTTTGTGCAAAAATAACCCAAAAAAACTGTCATCAGTCAGCAAAGTCACCATTTGTAAAACTTCCTTGATATGGCATAGCTTTTGAAAAAGATGCCTTTGTATTTTGACCAATTTTTTTATAAGACTGGTATTTCCAAATTGTGAAAAAAAAGGCAAGGTGTTGTTTCCTTGAGCACGTGAATAGCACCCTAGCTTAAAGCTTAAAACTTGTACAGCTATATGATTAAAGCAGTTCACTGCCTATCCAATCAATGATTAAGAAATATTGAATCTGTTCTAGAAAATGAGAATGACTGGCAGTATATAACTCACCTACAATCCCACTATCTTCAGGATCTTTCAAACGCCTCACTTCAAAATATTTCTCCAACTTACTTAAAGGATTATTACTCATTTTTCCTTTAAATGGTCCTTCTTTAACTTCAGTTGTTTCTTCCTCTTCCATAGCTGTTTCTTCTTCCTCTTCCATGTCTCCTAACTCTTCACTAAACAATTCTGCAGAAATACTTTTCCCTAAGTCTTCAATATCTTCAGTGGCTATCACAAGATCATCTTCCAAATCTTCAGTTTTTTCATAAACTTTCTTAGCTTCATCAGAACTTTTCTTAGAATCATCATTAGTTTTTTTATCTTCATTATTAATTTTGTTAGTTTTATCACTAACTTTCTTAACTTCTTCACTGATTTTCTTATTTTCTTCAGTGACCACTTTTGCTTTATCATTTTCAGGTACTGTACTTCCTTTCTTTTCTTTTTCCTCATTCTTTCCTACATCTGATTTTGTTTTCTCCAATTTTTCTACAGGAACATCATCTTCTGCACTAACCTTACTTTCTGTATTAACAACCTTTTTAGTTTGTTCATCTGACTTAGATGTTTGATCAGTGTTATTTTTAGAATCATTGACTTGTATTATGACACTTTTTGGTTTTGACTTAGATGTATGGCTAGTGTTTATTTTGGATTCACTGACTTTGATTATAACACTTTTTGGTTTTTCTCCAACTTCTTTTTTAGGTTCAGGTTCTTTATCAGCAACCTTTACTTCTTGTTCAATTTTACTTACTGGCACTTTCTGCGGTACTTTCTTTGTCTCATTGTTTCCTTTTACAGCTGTACTCGATTTCTTGGCCACTTCTTTGTGTGAACTTTTCTGGGCACCTTTTTTTGCAGGTGTTGTCTTCTTAGACACATCACGTTCATTTTTCTTTTGCTCAGCTCCTTTTCTTGCTGATGCAATACCTTTCTCTATAGTTTCAGCTAATGTCTTGTTCTGTTTAGACAGATCTTCAAAAGTAAGGCCTGTTGTTTTAGTTCCCTCAGTCCTTGCTCTTTTAGCTGGAATTTCTTCACTGTTATCTAAATATAAAGAACACTTACAATTTTGCAGTTGAAAATAAAAGTTTTGCAATAAGACCTCCAGGGTTTTGAAAGGACACAATCTTATATCTATTTTGGCTGGGTTTCAAATAAAATCAACAACATTAAACCTTTGCCTGCCCATAGCGAATAGTATAGAGCAAGATTAGCTGGCGCAATAGTCTGCACTAAAAGCAATATATTCAGCACTAAGTGAGACATTTCCCTAAAATGATGAATAATTTGGTCAAGAATGAAAGATACATAAGTCCATTTTAGATGTTTAGTGTGGTAAGAGTTTAAATGTGGCAACAGCAATATACAACAGTGCAGTCATTAAGGCTGTATGCCTTCATATGAGAAAATAAAATTTCAATTAATCAAACCTAAGACAACAAATTTAATGATTAAGAAATTTAAATATGTGCAAAACCAAAACATAATTTTGCACATCTTCATGCAAAATATGGCATAATTATACTATTTCGATCTCTACATTTTTGACCAAATTACAAATACAGTATTAGGTAAGTACTGCAAATTTTGATGTGTTATCTGTATTTACAATCTATAGAGTGCTTTTGACAGTTATTTACTTTATTTTATCACATGACAAAGTTTGTATAATCTAATTAAACAAGTCATGTTTTTTTTCTGAAATAAAACCCAACACAAGCATTCAGATGGATAAAGTTATAGTAAAAATTCAATACCTTTGCAGGCTTCAAACTTTTTCTTATAAGCTTCAATCTTCTTAAATATATCTGATGTAGTATCAGATTTATCTTCTTTTTTCTCTTCTTTCTTCTTTCTATCATCTTCATCTTTCTTATCCTCTCTTCTGTCCTTTTCTGGTGTTTTATCTCCCTAAAAAATTAAATCATGAAAAGACAATTCTGGATAAAGATTTTTTTTCCATTTTAAACAATGGCAGGGTTGGCCATAGTCATTTCATACAACACTTTTAAAGCAGGATGTCTCCAGTTCATGCTAATTTTCATGAAAATTTTGAAAATGTATTGTAAATATTGTGAAGTAACCAAAGAAAGGAGGAATTCTATCACATAAAATCCATGTAAATTACAAAAAGAAGTCAAAATATTCAAAAATAGCCCTTACTGCTTTAGTCACGCCAAAAAAATATGGTCATTAATACTTCAAAATCAGTATGTAATTCTTGCATAATCTCTCAATATATTGTTGAATAATCTCTCTTTCCTCTTTCCAACATATTTCTGAATAATCATGTATTCATACTGTTGAATGATCACAAAAAAATCATTCATATTCTTGATTAATCACTCATGCATATTCCTGAATAATCAATCACATATCTTGACTACTTAATTATATACTTGAATAACCACTCATGCATATTCCTGAATCATGCATATTCTTGAATTATCACTCATTACATATCCTTGAATAATCACTCATGTATATTCCTGAATAATCAATCACATGTCTTGACTACTCAATAATATTCCTGAATAATCACTCATGCATATTCCTGAATCACGCATATTCTATAATTATCACTCATTACATATTCTTGAATAATCACTTATGCATATTCCTGAATCATGCATATTCTTGAATAATCAAACATTACATTATTCTATACTAATCAAATATGTATTCATGCACTAATAATAAAATTATTATTATTCATAAATAATCAGTTAAAATTATGGTTTTGGAATATTTTACCTGGATTTTTTTCAAATGTTGTATGGCTGTAGCCTCAGGTTGTTTTGTATCAACCCACACAATGTTCTCATGTTTATTTTCCAGTTCTAGAGCATATTTGGCACACTGTCCCAACATGTCAACCTTGTTCTGTATCAGACATATCTTATCATATACTTTTGGATGGCTTCGTCTCTAAAAATAGATTGACTAGAAATTCAATGACAACACAAAATTAACACTTCACAAATTTGCATAAAATGTAACAGCAGTATAAAATGGATTAACACAAACTAATATCAATTCTGAACCCACAATGTTTTATTACCCTTATATGCTTAATTTGTGATATTGGACTTGCCCTGCATTGAATTTGGAGAAGTCCATTATTTTTAAAATGGTTTAACATCAAAGATCATGTAACTCATTTTTTTATGGTTTCATATAATAAATAAGATGCTCAAATGAATATTTATCAATATTGTAAGTTCCAAAAAGCATTATTTGTAAAGATATTACCGAATTTACATTTCTTGTAAATAAAGGGAGGTAATTAGAAATTTATTTTCGGTAAAGTCCAAGCCAAATTTTTCAATAAGAAATGAATCCATATATTCTAATGATTATTTATAATGAGCATAAATATTTGCAGTTCATATTTAACATATTCTTGGATGTTTGGAAATTGTTTTAGAAGGATAATTATATACATATATAAAATTTCATTTAAGTGTTCTCACATCCTTTATTACAACATAACAGGATCTTTAACATTCTTTACAAAGTAGTCGACAGTATAAAGCCTTGTTACACTACACAGAATTTCAGACTGGCCTGACTTTATACTGGTGGCCAAGACAATTCATTATTTCTGCTACCACTCTAAGAACAATGACAAGATTTTACTGATTGTTCATTTTTACTTACAATTGACTTTAGCCTGTGTTTGTACCCCATCATGTGATCAGCGATCTCTTTCCAGGACAAGGTCACCTCACATAATATACACAGATAGTAAGCAGAGCTACTGCTCTCCGAGGTAAACTCCTTTATATATTTACGCCCTGAAAAATAAAGTATGAAAATACTTGTATTTCCAAAGCAAGCTGTTAAACCCTTTAAGAGTCATTAAGGAACAATAATTCATATGCACATAACTCAATACATTTTCTATATCACAGGGATACTTGCCTAAATTATTCCAGCAGAATTTTTATGCTATGTAGAATTAAACATGTTTTACATTACTTTTGACAAGTGAAAAAGACAAAACAAGAAACTTTGTAAACATATCCCATATTTAATTTGACAAATGAAAAAAAAACTAGAAATGTGTCCATAGGACACTGATGCCCCCACACGCCACTGTTCTGTCAATCTTATGACTCTAGGTCAAATATTTTTTGGACTACATGTGCCACAAGTTGAAAACTAAAAATTAACAAAGGGCCATAATTCTGTTAAAATTGGTCGCAGCAAAAAATCCTTCCTTTACTACGATCTACACATTAAGGTTGTTAATTCCTGGAAGTTTAAGCAAAATCTGCCATCCAGTTTAAGAGGAGTTGTGTTCACAAAATTTCTCTAAAGTATACAATGAAAAAATCAACAAAGTGCCATAATTCTGTTGAATTTGGTTGCAGCAAAAATTCCTTCCTTTACAACCATCTACACATTAAGGTTGTTCATCCCTAGAAGTTTAAGCTAAATCTTTGCCATCCGTTTAAGAGGAGTTGCATTTACAAAATTTCTAAATAGTATATAGTGAAAAAATCAAAGGGCCATAATTCTGTAAAAGGTTGTCGCAGCAAAAAATCCTTCCTTTACTACCATCTACACCTTAAGGTTGTTCATCCCTGAAGTTTAAGCAAAAATCTGCCATCGGTTAAGAGGAGTTGCGTTCACAAAATTTCTACATAGTATAGAGTGAAAAAAATCAACAAAGGGCCATAATTCTGTTAATTTTGGTCGCAGCAAAATTCCTTCCTTTACTACCATCTACACATTAGGTTGTTCATCTCTGGAAGTTTTAAGCAAAATCTGCCATCCGGTTTAAGAGGAGTTGCGTTTTCACAAAATTTCTACATAGTATATAGTGAAAAAAATCAAAGGGCCATAATTCTGTAAAAATGGGTCGCAGCAAAAATTTCCTTCCTTTACTACCATCTACACCTTAAGGTTGTTCATCCCTGTTAAGTTTAAGCAAAATCTGCCATCCGGTTTAAGAGAGTTGCATTCACAAAATTTTCTACATAGTTATAGAGTGAAAAAATCAACAAAGGGCCATAATTCTGTTAATTTGGTCGCAGCAAAAAATTCCTTCCTTTACTACCATCTACACAAAGGTTGTTCATCTCTTGGAAGTTTAAGCAAAATCTGCCATCCGGTTTAAGAGGAGTTGCGTTCACAAAATTTCTACATAGTATATAGTGAAAAAATCAACAAAGGGCCATAATTCTGTAAAATTTGGTCGCAGCGAAAATTCCTTCCTTTACTACCATCTACACCTTAAGGTTGTTCATCCCTGTAAGTTTAAGCAAAATCTCCCATCCGTTTAAGAGGAGTTGCGTTCACAAAATTTCTACATAGTATATTAGTGAAAAATCAACAAAGCGGCCATAATTCTGTTAAATTGGTCCGCAGCAAAAATTCCTCCTTAAATGCCATCTTAACCTTAAGGCTGTTCATCCCTGTAAGTTTAAGCAAAATCTGCCATCTGGTTTAAGAGGAGTTGAGTTCACAAAATTTTCTACATAGTATCTAGTTGGAAAAATCAACAAAGGGCCATAATTCTGTTAAATTTTTGGTCGCAGCGAAAATTCCTTCCTTTACTACCATCTACACATTAAGGTTGTTCATCCCTGTAAGTTTTAAGCAAAATCTGCCATCAGGTTTAAGAGGAGTTGCGTTCACAAGATTTTGGGACGTACGGACGGACTGACGGGACGACGTTTACCAAAAATTTTTGATGTTTATGAGGCAAATGAGCTCATAAACACCACCTGGACCAACATCCATAAGCAAAATTAGCTCATAAAAACAAAAAATAGCTCTTAATTTTAAATTTTATGAGTTTATGTTCTTTATTTAACTACGGAATGAAGCTCATAATAATCAAATGTTGGCTCGGACTGACAGACGGACGGACTGACGGACGGACAAGTGCAACGCTATATGCTCCCACATTGTGGGGGCATAAAAAGTTATGATCCAGGGCTGCGCTTCATGGAGAGTCCTAAGTCTTAAGTTTGTCTTAAGATAAAAACTGTGACAATTTTGCATTTCAAAGAAAGTCTTAAAAAAGGTCCTAACTTATGACTCTTAAATTTATGACCAAAAACAGTCCTAAGTCTAGGAGTGTTTTAAAGGTATCTTAAGATTGTCTTAAGTCAAAACCACTCATGAATCAAACAATTTTTTGTTGAATTTTGTTTTGAAAACTATCTAGAATGATAGATAATGGTCTAACTAAGAAAATAAATCCGAACACCAATATCTTTAATTAAGTTATTAACGCTGTACAGACGTTAAGAGTTTTTTTACATGACGTCACAATGTAGCGCCAAATATCGCGTGCAAAAACAAGACGCATCTATAAATAATAATATTACTGCGCGATGTACATTTGCATTGCATAGCAAGCAAGGGGGTTCGTAAGCAGTTTTTTACTATGAAATGAAATAAAACTATTATTTTATCGCTTTTCGTGAAATATGGTCTATATTTTCACTTTTTACACTTGCTATAATCACTTACATAGTAAATCCAATCCGGGATTATGCGCGTGCCATTGTATTTTGTAACTTTTTTCAGGAGAGCGAATTGGTCATAAGTCTCAAGTTTAAGACAAAAGATAGGACAGTTACTTTAAACGGTCTTAAGTGCAAAAACTTTTTCTCCTAAGGTTGGTCATAAGTCCTAGGATTTAGGATTAACTTAAGACTCTCCATGAAATGCAGCCCAGGTACAAGTTTGCGGAGGGGAAAGGCAATGGCAATGCCGCCGCGACTATAGCAATACCTCTACTTTTTTTTTCAAAAAAAAAAAGTCGAGCTAAAAATGAACACAGTTATATGTAACTTACATGTGCACTCATAATTAACATACCAGTTGATTCACTTAAATAAATTTGAATGTTTGGGAAAAGTGCCAACTTTAAAGAAGAAGATGACAGGCAACAGCCCCTCCTTTAGAGGTCTGTCTGTTTAACAAAATGAGGAAAACTTTCGCCTGAGAATTATAAATCTTCTACCAATCAGCACTAAACATGATTTCTAAATATAAAGGGCTTGATATTTGACATATGTAACATAACATTGATGCCTAAATGACAATTAATTAATCTTCAATGTTTCCAGACAGTCAACTTGAGAGCCTTATATTGTTCACAAATTCATAGGAAGAATTGCAAAGTTTTTCTTTATAAATATCTTTGGAAACACAATCCATTTACACATTTAATTATATCAAAATTTGACTAACAGATTTACCAAGGAGGATTTTCACTAATTCCTGTATACCAAAGATATAGATCCCATCCTCTTTAGCCACCATGCTATTCTATACTAGAAATGTGTCCATAGGACACGGATGCCCCCACACACCACTGTTCTGTCAATTTTATGACTCTAGGTCAAATATTTTTTGGACTACATGTGCCACAAGTTGAAAACTAAAAATCAACAAAGGGCCATAATTCTGTTAAATTTGGTCGCAGCAAAAAATCCTTCCTTAACTACGATCTACATATTAAGGTTGTTAATCCCTGGAAGTTTAAGCAAAATCTGCCATCCGGTTTAAGAGGAGTTGCATTCACAAAATTTCTATATAGTATTATAATGAAAAAATCAACAAAGTGCCATAATTCTGTTAAATTTGGTTGCAGCAAAAATTCCTTCCTTTACTACCATCTACACATTAAGGTTGTTCATCCCTGGAAGTTTAAGCAAAATCTGCCATCCAAATTAAGAGGAGTTGCATTCACAAAATTTCTACATAGTATATAATGAAAAAATCAACAAAGGGCCATAATTCTGTAAAATTTGGTCACGGCGAAAATTCCTTCCTTTACAACCATCTACACCTTGAGGTTGTTCATCCCTGTAAGTTTAAGCAAAATCTGCCATCCGGTTTAAGAGGAGTTGCATTCACAAAATTTCTACATAGTATAGAGTGAAAAAATCAACAAAGGGCCATAATTCTGTTAAATTTGGTCGCAGCAAAAATTCCTTCCTTTACTACCATCTACACATTAAGGTTTGTTCATCCCTGTAAGTTTAAGCAAAAATCTGCCATACGGTTTAAGAGGAGTTGCATTCACAAAATTTCTACATAGTATATAGTGAAAAAATCAACAAAGGCCATAATTCTGTAAAATTTGGTCGCAGCAAAAATTCCTTCCTTTACTACCACCTACACCTTAAGGTTGTTCATCCCTGTAAGTTTAAGCAAAATCTGCCATCCGGTTTAAGAGGAGTTGTGTTCACAAAATTTCTACTAGTATATAGTGAAAAAATCAACAAAGGGCCATAATTCTGTTAAATTTGGTCGCAGCGAAAATTCCTTCCTTTACTACCATCTACACCTTAAGCTTGTTCAATCCCTGTAAGTTTAAGCAAAATCTGCCATCCGGTTTAAGAGGAGTTGCGTTCACAAAATTTCTACATAGTATCTAGTGAAAAAATCAACAAAGGGCCATAATTCTGTTAAATTTGGTCGCAGCGAAAATTCCTTCCTTTACTACCATCTACACATTAAGGTTGTTCATCCCTGTAAGTTTAAGCAAAATCTGCCATCCGGTTTAAGAGGAGTTGCGTTCACAAGATTTCGGGACGTACGGACGGACTGACGGACGGACTGACGGACGGACGGACGGACAAGTGCAACGCTATATGCTCCCACATTGTGGGGGCATAAAAATAAATCTATCAAATAGAAAAATAAATGTTAAGAACACATGTAAATGTCATTACTTGAATGTATTTTGTTTTGTCAAATACTGCAGACAATTAGGTTAACTGTCAATAATTCTTCCAGTTAACATGAATTTACACTTGTATTTACATTGGAGGGTGTATCTAAACAGAGAACTTGTTTAATTTTTTTTTTACATTAAAATATTTTTTGGGAATTTAAAAAGCACATAAAAATTTAGTTTTAAAGTTTTTTAAAATTAAACTATCCTATGGGAACCTGTCTGAATAGATTGACCTACCAAGTTTTTACATTGGGGTAAAAAAGATCTATGTAATTTGGAAGAAAGTTTTTTCTTGTCCTTCGACCCAATCCTTTTTAGCACTTTCTCCAGGTCTGGCTCCTACATCACGTCCTGGTGACCTTTTTGACCTGTCCCTTTCTGATGACCTCCGCAATCTATCCCTTTTTGGTGACCTTTGTGACCTATTCAAATCTGGTGACCTTCTTGACCTGTCTCTTTCTGGTGACCTTTTTGACCTGCCTCTTTCTGGTGACCTTTTTGACCTGCCTCTTTCTGGTGACCTTTTTGACCCGTCTCTTTCTGGTGACCTAAGCGACCTGCTTCTTTCTGGTGACCTTTGTGACCTGCCTCTTTCTGGTGACCTTTGCAACCTGTCTCTTTCAGGTGACCTTTTTGACCTTTCTCTATTAAATGATCTTGATTGTTCCAAGTCAGGTACCATATCTCTTACACCTGAATGACCTGCTACAATATCCATACCGCTAAGTCTATCTTCCCTCTCTGCAATATATGATGATAACTGACATAAAGGATAAAATAAAAACGTCCCCTAAATATTAAGGCCTCATATTTAATTAAAACTGACACAACCTGTTCCCAATTATTTCACAACCTGTTCAAGCAAAAGTGAATTACTGTTTTTAACTGTTGAACCTAAAATGACATTGATTTTAGGGTGGTCATCATTTTGGTGCTTGTACCAGACATTTGTGACATGATATGTAAGAATACCTCAATCCATGGCAATGTTACCGAGTGGACAAGCAAAATGCTCCACTTTTACCTTTGACCTACAAGTATGACCATGACCTTTGAGCTTAATGTCTGATTTTTGCCCTTGACTAATAATTTTGAGAATCCATGGTGAAAGAATAATGTAGACAATATCTCATGCACATATACATATATATACTGCTCATACAGTGAATGGCCACCGTCAAAACTTAAGTGAAGACTGACCGAAAAAACTCTCACCTCTTATTGAAGAATCCCTGGACCAGTCCACCCCCAACTCTGTGCCCATAAATCTACGCCCGTCCAGCTCATGGGTCATTATTTTAGCTTGTCCGGACGATGCTACCCTGACATCTGCGACAGCATTACCATCCCGTACTGTAAGTCGTACATTGTCATACAGGTATGTCTGTAATAATGACTCAAGCTCACTCTGAAAAATTTATACATCTATGTTATTATACTGAAAATTGAGTACCTCTCAAGCTGGTGCTAGGGGACCTGTGGGATGTTGCACTTTTTCATTATCCCTCATGTACAGACTCAATTAAATCAAGTCTGCAATTCAATTGATAACAAATCCATTTTAACTGTAAAAGCAAATCGCTAAAATACAGAAGTCACCTGTAAAACAATAAAATTAAATTTTGTCATAAATTTAGTGCACTAACAGGTTAGCTTTTACAATGAAACAGTACCTGTTTCCCTGTTATTGCACTAAGGTTACAAAATATAGATCACTCTATAGGTAAGTCATAATTGCTGTTAGTTCTAGGTCAAATGCACTTGTGTTTTTGACATTACTTAAATGAATATCAAAATAATATTCAAACATAAAAGCTTTGTTTAAGCAAAAAGGCCAAAACATAACTGAATACAAAGACATTGTTATAAAATTCCTTAACATTACTTTCATGATCCTTAAAGATATGATAAATAACAATCATGTTTCACGAGAAATAACAATCAAAATTACTTTAAAGTTTAAACATAAATTTCAACAAAGTATTCAACCATGGAAAATGGGAAGTTTAATCAAAGTTAATTCAGTTGGTTTTTTTTATGAAATAACCTTTAATGAACTTTGAAAACATACATGTTTACTTACATCTTTAATATCAGCTGGCAATTTTTCAACATGTACCAGAAACATTTCTGAGACACTGCGATCAGCCACGTCAGATACTCTGAATGACGCGTCCATACTACCGCCTCTATAGTTTGAGTCTTGATACCTTCTATCAGGTGATAAACTTGACCTTCGACCTCTTCCATCAGGGAAGTCAAGTGAACTTCCATGATCTCTTATTGAATATCTGTCATCTAGCGGCAATTTCTCTGATCTATAGTGTCCCGCTGAATATCCCGGAGAAATACTTCTGCTTCTACGGTAAGAAACAAACCCATGATCTCTGCTATGAGTACTGAAAGGACTATGAGATCTGCTTCGCCTTCGGTCTCTACTGTGAGAGCTGAAAGGACTTCGAGATCTACTCCGCCTGTACACGTGCGGATCGGGATTTTGCCTTAAATCTGGACTCCTAGAGTACCTTCTGTGCGGAGAGTATCCAAGGCTAGAATGCCGACCCCTTGATGGAAAGTCGGGACTCAATCGCCTATCTCTACTTGATGATCTATGTGGACTGCCATGACTATCTCTTCTTGGGGAATAACGTGGACTGTGTCTTCGTCCGTCTCTTGGAGATAAAGACCGTCTATAGTCTCTGTGGTATGAACCTGAAGATTAAATAAAAAATCTGACAATCTTTTATCTTAAAGTACATTGGTCTATAATGGAAGGTCTGTAATACAATAGTATTAGACATAACAACAAACTATGAGAGAATTATAGATGGAAGTTGTTGGCAAGTGAGATATACATGATCTATTATTTCTAGAACAAAATATCATTTTCCATCATATAAATGTTCATTTTAAATCGCTTAGAAGTTCATGAACATTTCTATTTTCAAGCAACAATTTCTAAGAACATCAAAATGACACATCTCTACTGATTTTATCAATATTTGAAATACTTATAGAAAGTGTGCCCATTGTAGATCTATACACTTTAATTACATTATTAATTCTCATAAAAGAATGGCTTTATAGCAATTTATGAACACAAAATTTTCTTTAAAAGGGACAACCTTCCTCAAAATCTGCATGTATGTAGTCTGAAAATCTTTCCATTGCACAATCTACTTTGAGTTATCTTTTATTCTAAAGCACAGAATTATAATTCCATATACAAGTATCACTCATTTGAAAAACAGTGGGCTATGACTAATATATCACTGATGTATTTTAGTACTACATCAACAAGCATATAAAGTTAAAGCTTGTCTACCTTCACTGTAATTATCTGTGTTTTTTCTGGAAGGTATATCTGTATCACCATATAGCCTATCTGGATACTGTACAACATGTTCTGTAAATACTTCTTGAGCTGGTGGCGGCACTCCATGATACACCGTATGAACTACCTGAGAATAAGCTGGAATATTCTCTACTGGATGTACAACCGGAGGTGGGTACGAAGGGACACTTTCTACTGCATGAACAATGGGAGGATAAGTGGGAATTGTTTGTACAGGGATTGCAGAACCTGAAAATTACAAGTTGTTCAAAGTATATTCTGCCAGTGGAAATATGAATATGTCGAGTACTACTTCAGAAAATTTGGGATTTTTTAAAGATCTAATATGGAATTTATAACAGTTTTTTAAATGCAGAAAAAGCCTATGTTCTGCCTTTATTTGATGCAAAAATAAATCACTGAAAATCTATCCCTTGATGTGCTTTTAATTCTCCTTGAGAAGCATTGCAAGAAAAAGATGTTGTCAGGAAGTGATACTTTACAAAAGTTTTACCATAAAAAAAGACTAAAGAAAGTTTAAAACTTAATTTAGAATAAAAAAAATATTTTTTTTTGTCATAACCATACCTGATACAGAATGCAGGACTGCAGGGGTGGCAACCGTTGTGTCAGTGGGAGGAGCTGAATAGGCCACTGGGTGGTGTGAGGACACTGAAGCCACGCCTCCACTCCTAATAGGATAGGCCACAGGAAGCTGTGAGGACACTGATACCACACCCCTACTTCCAATATTTGATGAAGGTGCAGCTATTTCACTGACTTGTGCTGACAGTGATGTGCCTAAAAAGAAAAACAATCCATATATATGTATTTCTGAATCTCAAGTTAAAATATAATTAGATAAAGCATAAAGCATAATCTTCCACTTATGCAACAGAATATCTTTTATATACCCATGTCATATGTTTGTTAATGAGGCATAAAAGTTGCAATAATAACAGGTCATTTTAATATGCCTGATTAGTCAATGTTAAATGAATGTATCCTTTATATCTGTTTTTTTCTTTTTCTTTGGTGTAGGTGGCTGGAAATTGGGTGTTTAGGAGTAGGCCTAAAGGGTTAAAGTTTTTAAGTCAAAGCAACACTGTTAAGATCATCATAATGTAGAAGATCTCAGGTGCCCCTATATGCATCAGTGGGTACTTGTTTAGATCCACCCGCCCTCTGTTAAATGGGCTCGATTGCTATTTCACATGTAAAAATTTTAAGTCCCTGGTGGATTCACACCCTCAACAGTGTGGGCAAACAATATGAAATATGCAACCTTTATAACTTAGCCACACAGGCAATTATCTTTTAATCATGGATACATCAGGTACCTGCATATTAATGGTATTACATTATCATGGCAAAGAGAAATTGTATTGTGTACTCGCAGATACCAGATTTCTTATTTAAAGTTCATGGTCACTAACCAGCGTTAGCTACTGTGTAATCAATAAAATCTGCCGCGGCACTAAATCGTATCTCCATCTCTTTTCCTTTATAGGGAAACCCTTTCATCTCTGCAATCACCCTTTTAGAGTCCTTCAGCGAGGGCAGCTTCACAAATGCACAACTGTAAAATAAATGGACCAAGTTTTCTGATGAAAATACTGTAATTTTCAACTAAAGAAATTCATATTGTATAAGAGTATATTATTTTTTGTGTGTCAAAATGTCCATGAGATCACAATTTCAGAACTTTTAGGACATTTTGCTTGTTTTTCAGACAACTGAAAATCACATTAAAACAACATAATATGATTGAATTAAGATACCTTTATACACCACTGACTGTTTATTTTATGGTATTGTACAATAAAAATTTGACGGTATGAGAACAGCTCATAAATACTTACTATTGCGAGTCTTTATGATCTAGTCACTGAAACAACATATATGACCGCTAATCCTTAAAGCAAGTCATTATTTTGTCTGAAAATGTTTACTGTTATATATAAATCTGGAATATGGATTGCAGCCTATGTGCCCGAACGGTTTAACCATCATTTTTATTTACTAAAAGGTAATTTTGAATGGGTGCAGCCTATTGTCTGGAATGTACGGTAGTGATACTAGTACTCACATCTTATCCTTTTTACTGGTATGTCTACCCATCCAAACTTGTGGTGACTCAAAGTTGTAATGTCGCAAAATATCCAAAATCATTACCTGTAAAAGAAACCATAACACTGTGTTAGTTTAAATGTATAAAGCATTGAATATATCTGCTGTAAAAATTGATGTTGAATTTTACAAAAGAATGCATTCAAAATGCAAGTATGCAACTGCCTTATTATGGAGCATGCAAAAAATCATTGCTTGCAGATAAAACCTTACTTAAAATAGCGACATTATATTTTGTTCCAGAACATTTTATTTTGTTTACATACAATATTCATGTGTTTTAAATACATTCTTTGTAACAACTCTTTCAATAATCAACATTGAGATTATGGAAACATTATGATTTTACTGCTGATAAATTATATAGAAATATTTCATACGATATAGCTTTATACTGTTTATCCATTAACATAACGAATTTCTTAGCTTTCATATTTGAAACTGTCCATTATCAATTTTAGAAATATTGATATAAAATTTTTAAGTAACATGTAGTTTACCAACAGTATAGAGCCTGGTCAAACTGAACAGATGTGCAGGCTGACCTGGCTCTATACTGGTGGCAAAGGTTAAAATGTCAGTTTTGATACTAGCAGGTTAAGTGTCAATGTATCCTAGCACCATTTTATAGAGACTTTAAATAACTCACCTTTGACGTATCATGTGGTATATTGCTGATGTACACTTGGGCTTGCACATATTCTGGATCTTCATCTGTAAATTTAAACAGTTCTTACATTACTTAATAACTTAATATAGAGTCGTATATCTTATATTCATAACATCAAATATTTACATTATAACATGAAACGACAAAAAGGACAAACCAACTTATCACTGCAGGATTGTGTAAAAAAAAAGCAAAGTAGAAAAAGGTATCATAGTTCTGCAACATTTTGGGAGGCTTATCTGCTCATGGTAGTGAACAGATACATCAGGTTTGATTTAAATACCTTCAAGAAATTTTGAAAAAGGCAAATATTCTCACAAAATGACTAATTTTAAATAAAAAAAAAGAGAAATAATTATGCAAAAATGATTAAACTTTCAGGATTATTAACCCTTCCGAAATGCATTTCAAATGCGAAATATAGTTAACAAATACTCCAAGTTTAACCAATATTTAACCATCCCCAGTATAAATATTTTATCACAAAATTACACATTCATGCAAATCTCGTCTCCTTAAATGGTATAAAAATCTCAGAAAATATTACCAGTCCTGTAATGTGGAGTCCCTTTTATATTTTTTTTTAGAAATTTACATTTTATGTAAACAAGGCACTTTATCATAAATATAAAATTTATCATTCTTAGTCTTACCTTCTAAGTCTGTCACCTTGGCCTTTTTTACTTGTGTTGTTGAAGTTAATTCAGCTTTTCTCTTTCCAGCCACGTCCTTATGAGTCCTTGACCCTGATGACACCAACGTCGGAATACTTCGACCTTCAACCTTACTCTGTTGAGCGGACTTATCAGTAACACGAGAAGGCTTTGATTGAGTTGAAGAAACTTTAGAAACTACATTAATCTGACCCTTGATAGGTGTAGCTGTCCTAGAGTTTGTAACATTTGCCTCATGTTTTGAGTTAGAGGCTATAGACCTTGCAGGAAATGGACTGGTTCTAGTATTTGATTTATTAGGATGTACAGTCTGTCCTTTACTGCCAGGCATAATACCAGTCTGTTTTTTTATTGGATCTTTGCTAGATGTAGTATCATCTTCAGGATACAAATATGTCTTTAGCATTTCTTTCAACTTCTCAGCCTTCTCCTGAACTGAACTCAATGTTTGTTTTCCACTTGAGGAAACACTAGCACTTTTGGCTTCTCTAGCCACACCCTTAGAGTTCTTCAAAATACTCTTCAGTCTTGGAGGCTCATTTAAAGTCTGTTTCACCTCATTTGATAAAGATGCTTGTCCAGTACTTTTTGTGTACACAAATGGACTTTGACTAACGGTTAAACTGTGACCTTCGGTTGCTGAAGGCATAGTGTTTCTATTTTGTGTTACACCTTGCCTCACATTTGTTTTGTCAATGCTATATTGATGGGCCGTACCCTGAATATTTGTCAATTTATTACCACCACTTACTGACTGATGTAGTTGTCTCTGATTCCCTCCTGACTGTTGTGCCATAATATGAGCACTGATTGTGCTTTGGTTCCCAATCAAACCATGTTGTAGACCTTGCTGCCTGCTCACACCAGGCTGCATGCCCATTATTTGGGAATTTCCAGTTCCTGTATTTCCTTGAGACTGTCCCATCATTCTCTGTGCTTGGGGATTCCAACTTCCCATAGCACTCTGAGACTGGCCCATCATTCCTTGATTTTGGGAATTTCCACTTCCCATAATACCCTGCGACTGTTCCATCATTCCCTGTGCTTGGAGATTCCGACTTCCCATAGTACTCTGAGACTGTCCCATCATTCCTTGAACTTGGGAATTCCCACTTCCCATAATACCCTGCAACTGTTCCATCATTCCCTGTGCTTGGGGATTCTGACATCCCATAGCACTCTGAGACTGTCCCATCATTCCTTGAACTTGGGAATTCCCACTTCCCATAATACCCTGCAACTGTTCCATCATTCCCTGTGCTTGTGGATTCTGACTTCCCATAGCATTCTGAGACTGTCCCATCATTCCTTGAACTTGGGAATTCCCCTGCATTCTCATGAATTCTTGTAACATTTGATTATGTAATCCTTGATTCATATTGCCCATTGAACCTTGTTGCTGCAAAGGAGGACCACTGTTAGACTGTTGTTGCATCATCTGAAAGTTGCGCTGGAAATTTTCAAAGAAAATGGCCCTCTGTTGTTGGTTCATTCCTTGTAAATTATTTTGAAACATGTTCATCAAGGGGTTATTGGCATTTCCCCCACCCATCATCTGCTGCATATTCTGACCAGCCATTTGTCCTGGGTTCAGAGTGGGAAAATTTGGAAAATTACCTTGATTATTCATTTCTTATATCTTCTATTACAATAATTCAACATTTGACATTCATACTTTCTGTGTAACAACTTTGATCAGATCTTCTTCTGCCATAATTCTAATTTTTCCATACCATCCCTACAAATAGTGAAAGAAAAAAAACATTATTGATAAACATATCAAACAGCAACTTGAAGTGTTGTGTAACAAATTAAATACTGAAATCTGAACAATACAAAAATAGCTCTCTTCAAATAGAATATCCCAATATAATTCCTATTCTCCTGTAAAATAATTACGCAATAAATAAAGCCAATTTACCCTTTCCCTGCTTGAACAAATGGTAGTTAGACTTTGGTAAAATAGAAAGTACAACAGGGGGAATTAAGTATGAGAAAATATTTAAGATAATTCATTGACTGATTTTTTTCCTCTTTTAACAGAGAAATAGTTTTTCCTAAAGATAACATAAAATACCATGATGCTGATGCTATATAGCAATATTAATCTTTTCAGATTTTGTGGGAAAAAAAACAACATCATTCTCATCATGAAAGAAAATAATAATAATAGAGTCTCAAAATTAAAAATAGGTAATGCTAGATAAGGCTGATAAAGGGTCCAACACTGTGAACAAGACATTCAGACCAAAATGATTCTGAATTTTGATTCTGACTTTTGTCAGTAATACACAGATAAACGCTTTCCGAACTAGCAGAAGAAAGGCTATTCTATCAGTAAAATTGCGAGTAAAGATTGCATATCTCATTGTATAAATCGTATGTAAAATGTTCTGACATATATGGTAGGTTTAACAGTTAATTTAAATACTTTAGTGTGAAAGATATGTTGAAGTATACTGTTGTGAAGCTAAGTTCCAAAGCTTTCAATTGGTGTAATAAATTTTAAAATCGGACGTTAAATCACAAGAAACTAGCAGTTTAAAAACAGTTTAAATTTGTATTGTTTTATGCCTGCTGCACAGTAAATGGGCCAATTTTTCAAAAACACATGAAAAACACAAAAAAAAATTATTGCATTTGCAGTAGAGCTGTCATTGATTCAATGCAAAGCATATCAACGATATATCGATATCAAGTGACTAAAACCAACGATACACCGATATATTGATAATATCCTATACTCACTTGTCTGTCATTCACTTTCATACCTGTTTAAATGATTTCAGTCAAAAACATGTTCTGTACAGTGTCTTGTCCACTGCATGATTTTTTCCAGACAATATTTTTTGTCACCATTGCTATGAAATAATTCCACTATATAACAAAAGCATAACATTAGATATAAATAACTGCTTCTGTATATATTTTGAGTGAATTTTATAATTTCTAGACATTTAATTTATAAGTCAAAAGTATCGATTTTTTAAAATGTGTATCGATTATTGATCGGCAAAAAAATATCAACGATACATCGATATTGTCGATATCGATGACAGCTCTAATTTGCAGTTACTTTTTTGTGTTTTTACAAAGGACTTACTATGAAGCAAATGTGCCCAAAAGTTTTTTATGATAGCATTACCCAAAATAAAGATACAGACATTTTTATACCCTAAAAATGCCCATTTTTACATGTAATGTGTTGTTAGCATCTGATTTTTTGGTGTTTTTAGAATTAACACCACTATTATCTGTTCTAATTTATCTCTTCAATTTTTTTACATGCACATAGATAATTTTATTACCTTTCCAATGATATATAATACTTGGTATACATCATCCTAGTTTTTATCATTAAGATGATTTTAGTAAAATCAGACTTTTGTAATGCATCAGTTTTTTCAAAATTCAGTTGTTAATTAAACAAGTATACCTTTAAGCAATTACAAATAAAATAGTACTTTATGGTCTTAATCTAATGAAATATGGATTAAAGACATATGTAAAGTGTTTTCAAAACAAATTTTGAAACAATATTACCATAGTATGCATTATGGTGGTGAAAAAAAAATTTGTGATGAAAAAACTGTAACGTCCGTCCCCCTCTCATAAAATATCCAATTTTAAAACAATACTCATAAAAAACAATGTTACTGGTGCTTATTGATAGTCTTACTATGAAAATGTTACAAAAATTGCCAATTTCTATGTAAATGAGAAAAAGAAAAAAATACAATAATGTAAAAGTTGTCTGTAACGTCCATCCCTGTAACATCCGTCCCCCTATGTAAGGTGGTTATTAAATCCCACATAAACTGTAATTGAAAAGGGAATTTTACACTAAAACACCAAAGTTACAATGAAAAATGAAGAAATAACAGAATTAAAGGACTGAAATGATGTATTTATATAAAAATTATTATTTGTGAACACCAAATTCCTTTATTTTGAAAAAAAAATCAGTATATTTTGCTATGAAAATAAAATTAGTTACTTTGAAATAAAGTTAATATGTTATTTTTAAACATAAAATTGGCCTATAAGTTTATTTAAATAGTATTTAAACTTATATGAAATTTATAATAAATATAATCTTTTGTTATTCTGTGTTTTCAAAGTAAGGGTACAGAAGGGGACGGATGTTACAGAAATGAACTAATGAATTAATGATTTTTTTTACAGAAATACTAAACTTATCTTGTTCTTATGATGCATGATAGAGAAGTTGTAAGTTTTGCAACTGTATACGAATGTTTCACACAACAATAAAATACTATTAAAAACTAGAAATATGTCCATAGGACACGGATGCCCCCACACGCCACTGTTCTGTCAATCTTATGACTCTAGGTCAAATATTTTTTGGACTACATGTGCCACAAGTTGAAAACTAAAAATCAACAAAGGGCCATAATTCTGTAAAATTAGGTCGCAGCAAAAATTCCTTCCTTTACTACCATCTACACCTTAAGGTTGTTCATCCCTGGAAGTTTAAGCAAAATCTGCCATTCGGTTTAAGAGGAGTTGCATTCACAAAATTTCTACATAGTATATAGTGAAAAATCAACAAAGGGCCATAATTCTGTTAAATTTGGTCGCAGCAAAAATTCCTTCCTTTACTACCATCTACACATTAAGGTTGTTCATCCCTGGAAGTTTAAGCAAAATCTGCCATCCGGTTTAAGAGGAGTTGCATTCACAAAATTTCTACATAGTATATAGTGAAAAAATCAACAAAGGGCCATAATTCTGTTAAATTTCGTCGCAGCAAAAATTCCTTCCTTTACTACCATCTACACCTTAAGGTTGTTCATCCCTGTAAGTTTAAGCAAAATCTGCCGTCCGGTTTAAGAGGAGTTGCGTTCACAAAATTTCTACATAGTATATAGTGAAAAAATCAACAAAGGGCCATAATTCTCTTAAATTTGGTCGCAGCAAAAATTCCTTCCTTTACTACCATCTACACATTAAGGTTGTTCATCCCTGTAAGTTTAAGCAAAATCTGCCATTCGGTTTAAGAGGAGTTGCGTTCACAAAATTTCTACATAGTATCTATTGAAAAAATCAACAAAGGGCCATAATTCTGTTAAATTTGGTCGCAGCAAAAATTCCTTCCTTTGCTGCCATCTACACATTAAGGTTGTTCATCCCTGTAAGTTTAAGCAAAATCTGCCATTCGGTTTAAGAGGAGTTGCGTTCACAAAATTTCTACATAGTATATAGTGAAAAAATCAACAAAGGGCCATAATTCTGTTAAATTTGGTCGCAGCAAAAATTCCTTCCTTTACTACCATCTACACATTAAGGTTGTTCATCCCTGGAAGTTTAAGCAAAATCTGCCATCCGGTTTAAGAGGAGTTGCATTCACAAAATTTCTACATAGTATATAGTGAAAAAATCAACAAAGGGCCATAATTCTGTTAAATTTGGTCGCAGCAAAAATTCCTTCCTTTACTACCATCTACACATTAAGGTTGTTCATCCCTGTAAGTTTAAGCAAAATCTGCCATCCGGTTTAAGAGGAGTTGCGTTCACAAGATTTCGGGATGTACGGACGGACGGACCGACTGACGGATGGACAAGTGCAACGCTATATGCTCCCACATTGTGGGGGCATAAAAATAACTAAAAAGAAACAAACACAAAATCCAAAACAGGATATACAGAAGAGGTGCATACGATAGAGATGTTGAAAGTATCTTATTGATTAAAATTGGTCAATTGTTAAAACATAAATTCTTTAGTCTTGAATAGTTAACAAAACATCTATCCCAGCCCCTCATAAAACAGTGGGATATGGATCCTAACTATATACACACAGATGGGGCTGGCACTTTATTGGAAGTTAACGAGCTGTATATTGGGAGCTGTGTATTGTATATTGGGAAGTGTGATATATTACAAAACAGTAGGGGTGCCAATATAGGGTGATGTACATATGCTTAAAAACAGTGGGAGGGACTACCATATCTGTTAGAGAAGGCCTGTCATTAAGTAAGCTGTAGATCAATTAAGTCAAAGGATTTATTGAACTTCAAAATTTTACAGGCTAAAGATGTAGTCAATTAAAAAATAAACAAATAAAGAAATATAATTCAATACCCTGATTAAATTTCCTTTTTCTTCAAAATTCAAGCATATTTTCTTACCATTTGACCCATTTAGTTATTATAAATAAAGTGGAAGAAAATCTTAAGTAAAGGATTCCTGTAATGTAAAAGTTGGGATAATTGTGAAAATTTGTCTGTAAATGAACCCTTCGCAAATTATTTTGAACCTATAAATTTTATTGAATGACAAATTAGTTCAAAGTTAAGCAGTTCATGTACACTGAAATATTTACACAAAGAATTATTAAAAGTTAGAAATAATGAGCTTATGACACTGAATCAAAATGAAATCTTTGGATAATGCAGCTGACATTCCACATTAATTTACTTAAAATCTCATCAAATCGATAGTACTTAATTGCATCAATTTAAAATCTTTTTCATGAAAATTTTTAGTTGTTTATAATTTATGTATTTAATAATGAGAAATTAGGCTTGCATATGTTTCAATCTGAAAACTTCTTATTTATTTCACACTGTATCATATTATCTTTTACAAAGATAAATCTTATAATTATATGTAACAAAAGTATTTTGTAAATGATTTCGTATATAGAAAGGTACCATTGGTATGCCATTCTTTCTTTATCACACTGTTAAAGCATTATCTGGAAACCAGCATTATTTTATTTCATTAGCAATGTTCTTATTTTAATCCAAACATGTCAATGTTCATTCAAATGTAAGATAACTGGAAGAAAACCAAGTCAATGCAACTTTTCATTGTGAATCGCAAAAAGTAAGAAACTCCATAATTGTCAGGAATATTTCTATGATTTTTCTCATAATTTGTTCAATTATTTTACATTTATTGTACTATACAAAGCATAATACTCTTAGAAATGTTAATCCTTGAAAATTAAACCCAAAAAAAAAGGATGAACTATGAGCTTTAAACATCTAGTGTAACATCCGTCCCCCCAAAAATGTAACATCCGTCCCCCTGATACAATTCATTTCTGGATTAGCTGACAAGTATATATACATTAGAAAGTCCTATAATTTTCACTGTTTGATAAGACATGTGTTTGCAAATTTCATTTAAGTATGAATTGATGTACCTATCCTTGTTTTCTTTACTTTGTTGCTATCATGTTTGAAAATTTAATTTTTCGGGAAAAATACAGACAATTTGAAAGCAAATAATTATATATTTAAGATGAATTTTCTGAAAAAGTTTTGTGACACTTATCAAAATACATAATATATTAATGAAATAAAGAGAAATCATACAATTTTTATTATAAATTTTAACATATTCAGACTTTTAGTATATCTTTGTAACATCCGTCCCCTACCAACACGGTCTGCATAAGATGTAAAATTTTGAAAAAAAAGTATTCAAAAACTTATCCTTTCTTTCCAAAAATATTGTTACAGACATCCTAAGGTTCTTAAAAAAAAGCAAATATTTACTTGTATGTTTAACTTTATTTTTTTACTTAGATGCTAACACAATTGGCCCATTTGCTGTGCAGCAGGCATTTAGCATTTTACTCCAAGACAAGGGAAACAACTCATATCTTTTCACTCAATATACCGCTGTTATTTACATAGTTCACATCAAGTGTTCATGGGTGTATTGCCTGCATTTTTGTCACAAATAAATTCATTAATAAATGCTTTAATCTCTCCCAAGGTTTACCCAAAGTAACCAGTGTTTGGTTTTGAAAGAATATCTTGGGAAAACAGTAGTGTGTAATAAGGTAATTAATCTTTCTTTTTGAAGATTCTAAGCAAGAAAAACTTCATTTTTCTTTAATACCTTTAACAAACATTTGGATAAAAAAATGTTTAGCACTTTAACATTTTAATGATTGATAATCGAGACCAATTGATTAAATTAGGTGTCATATTAGTTTCTGGCTTATACCACAATTAAATATCATGGTTCTTCAACATATTGAATCTCATCAAACTAAAGAATGTGAACTGAACAAGTTATAACCAAACAAATGTATGGTATATGCCACACTAGCAATTGTTTAACTTGTCCGAAAATATCAATGTCCGAAAACAGTGAAGTTTAGCAAATAAATTTGACATAATTGTGACTTCGTGAAATTTTAAAGGATTTCATTAGCGATACATTTATGTACATTGTAAGTTTTTATGGAGAAAACTTTAATAGTTTTTGTAAAATACCGTGCATACTCATCAAAATAATGGGTGCCTTTCATCGTTCTTCGGGTTGTCTTCTTTAAAAGCCGTCTAAAGTCGTACTCAAAAGAGTACGGGAGATATTAATTGACGGTCTACGGTCTCCAATAACCCTCGATTAAATAGAACACGACAAGTACAAGAAACGGTGGAAAACAGAAAACTTAGGAATATTTGAAGACTCATCCTTCTAATTCTTCAGAATTCTTCAATTCACTGAAAATTATTTGTGGGCACTGGTTAGAACAAGTTACAAAAAGTGAAAAATTAAAAAAAGGGTAAAACTTTTAACATTTTCATAACTTTGCTTTAATAAAATTTTATCATTTTAAAGGTCATAAATGGAATAATTTACTGCTCTTAAAATGACGGGTCGAAACATATGACCCTCTGACTCTATGTCTTCTAAATAAATGTTATTTTCAACATGACGTTACTGACTATGCTATGTATAGATCCACGTATTTTCAACGTCTATCATTAAATTATGGAACAATTTGCAAAATGTGTAACAGACCTTCACCGAAAGATTTAAGTATCATTTTAAGAATTTTAATAAAAGCAGTAAACTTTCCTAAGATTATACATGAAGTTGAATCGGATGGGTCATGGGCGGTTTATGTGTCTGTTTCATATGCTGTGTACGTGCTCTACTCTTGCCAACTTTAGATATGATGATTTATTTACAAAGAAGCACGCTCTCTAGCAAGAGCTTGTTTTTGTCTTAAATAATACACGGGGAGGTATACCAATAGTTTAACAATTTGTCTGAAGTGTCACCATATATTTTACGGTTCTTGTCTGAATTAATATACAAGTACTGCACAAATCGTGTCATAACTTAAGGAATAAAAATAAAACATAGTTTATATTGATGGTCTTTATTTTTTTACCAGTAACAAACACAATGATACACAAATAATACTTGCAGAATATTTATATTCTTAAAAAGATATTTTATCCTTTTTATAAATCTTTAAATGAACAAATAATTTGTCTGAAACGTTCCTTTCAAAGGTATGTAATCTAACTATATTTTATGTCCGCAAAGATCACAATCAGACACCTGACTCCAGACCAGTTTTCACAAGGTCTTCTTTTGAACTGTCTTCGCAAGTTGTAAACTGAACCAAAGCATCTACGAAGACGCTCCTTGGAATCTTTCCATCAACTGGCTTAAAATCATGGAAGAACTTCTTGTCTAAAGACACATTATCATGGCCTAATGCCTTAAAGGCATTCACAAACTCTTCTTCTGTAATACCCTCTCCACATAAATCTACCATGCTAAACACTGTGGTAAAATATTTTCTTCTTTTTTCGACATATTTATCTTTGTCGGCCTTGAAGTCGTCGTTCTGCATTTCAACAAACTCATCTTCAGTAATTGGACCAGGTTTTCCATAGAATACGTTTTCTGACAACAATTTGTCCATTGTTTCAATAACCTTTTTCTTTTGCTCTGGATCCAAATGGTTAATCGCAGCAAATCTTTCCCTTAATAAAAAAGAAAAGTAGTCAAACATTTTCTACAAAGGAAACATTGGCAAAACAAAATGGATTAAGTAATTACTCAAATATCCTAAAAGAAGTTAAGACGTGTGCAGCATTTTCTAAAAATGTGCTGAAAATATGCTACAATAATGCTAAAGTATCTGTTGATGTACTATAAAAATATAACACTTTTGTCCTTGTTATTCAAACATACTGTTCCGATATCAAAGAAAACTATGAACGTAACTTTGTCACAAATACAAAATGTAATTAGATTCTGTAAGCCCGACTATATAATGTAGTAAACATGATTCCGCCAAAAGTTTTCAGTAATTGGAATTAATATGCTGTCGAACGATCGGTATCATTGAAAGTCTTTATGCATACAGAAACCACCCTTATATTGTTTACTACTCATAGTGTCAGTACAGACACATGTATGTTTCGTTCAATAAAAGTGTGTGTCAAATTTTGCCTTTTTTACTTACTCCTTTTCTTTTACGTCCTCTCCTGAAAGTTTGTTTTTATGTTTTACATCATATAGCCTGAACCATAGTCGCCATTTACTTTTCAAGTAATCGTTTGCCATGTTTATTTTCTACAATGTACAAAATGTAATTCACTTTAATGAAAAGATATCATTATTCAATCATTTAGACTGAACTATAATTGCCATTTACTTTTCAAGTTCTAGTTTACCATTTCTGTTTTATTCAATATACAAAAATGCAATGTGTTTCAATGAACAGATGACAATTTTGCTTCATTCTAATGAACAGATGACATTTTTGCCTCATTCTAATGAACGATTATGTTTTTGCTTCCTTCTTCTCTAATTGTTTACATTGTTTATTTTATTCATTATACAATTTGCAACATACTTTAATGAACAGATGACACGTTTGCATCATCCTAATGAAAAGATTGCATTTTTGCTTCATTCTAATGAACGACTTCATTGTTGCTTAATTTATTGAACAGTTTGCATTTTTTCCCATCTTCCTAATGAACAAAATGCATTTTTGGCATCAACTGCATGACTAATATAGTCGCCATTTACTTATCAAGTAATCGTTTACCATGTTTATTGTCTGCAATATACAAAAGACAATACACTTTAAAGAACAGATACCATTATTTGCATCATTCGGTCTGAACAATAATTGCCAATTACTTATGAAGTACTAGTTTACCATGTTTACTTCCACAATTATACATGTGCATATAAAGCAATACATTTTAATGCATAGATAACACCTGCTATTTGTGGCTCATGCCATGTTTTTCTAACATGAAAAAGTGCAAAAGAAGAAATATTCTATATTCAAAGATATATTCAAAGAATATAAAAATATAACTGTAAACAACCATATGTATTGCAAATGCACACGAAGTGATCTTCATCATGTTTATCACGTTCATGTATCATGGAAAACAAAACCACAAAAACAATCGGGAACCTTAGTGACCCACACGGCCTAAAAAATGCAAGTCGTGGGTCAGTTGGGGGCAAATGTAAGATTCCGTCCTGAATGTACAAATAGTGAGAGAAAACACAGGCAATAGGTAACATTGGTGACCCACACGACCTAAATGAAAATACACGTGTATTTCATTGGTCAGATGGGTTTAAATGAAAGAGACTGTCATTAATATAATGCACATTTCTTTTGTGCGTGACAATGGTGTAAAGAACGTATTAACACGAGTATTCTATAATTTACTAACTTTTTCTAAATCATTAAGAATCTAACATATTCATGGCGTTGTCGGAGACAATGCGACAATAATATTATCTGTCACGTGTTGCAGTCCGGATATATCTGTCCCTCGGACGTACCCGTACATTGGGCTGTGACGTGGCTTGCCGCGTTGAGTTGCCTCTTATGAGCGGGTACCCCAGGAACGGATATTCCGAGCTGAACCGCTAACAAATGTCAGATATTTGCTATTGCAAATTCTTCCAAATATTCAGTGGATGGGTTTCCTCTATAATATACTTGTCTTATATGTAAGAAAACATATATTGTTCTTCCATATGTAATTATTGAACAGTTACAAAGAAAATATTATCGCGGTGCAACAAAATCATGTCTTTTGCGGGGTAAAAAGTGAGACAATCTCACAGACTTGGTTATTCTTTTAGATTTTGTACCAGTAATCATTTTTGTGCCAGAATGATTATTCTAGGCGTGTAAAATGACCTAAGAAAAGAAAAGCGTTTAATCGCGATTAATTTAACATGTTAAATCGGGTTTAAAAACGTACTACTTATCAAGTTAAATTTAATTTTAATAAATTTAATTTTAAGTACATTTTCATATTTTTTTCCGTATTGAGTGTTCAAGGTAAGATTTTAAAATTTTATGTTTTAGACCTTTGGGCCTCAGTGGAGTTCTTTAAATGTCTTAAAAAGATGCTCGTTGAAGTAGTAGACAAATATGAATAAAATGTTTTAAAATTGTGAAGAAATTTAGGCTATAACTAAAGACTTTATGTATTTTAACAATATTATTAGTCGCCGGTAGAAACCGGCGACTATATTTGTAACAGTTTAATATTATACCTATGGTAGGAGAAGCCCTTAAAATCTGAAAATAAAAGCATATCAATCATTGAACAATTAAAGACAAAAATTATTTTTCAGTAATCTCAAAAATTCAAACATATGATAACTTTGCTCAGTGAAATGAAATATGCACATATTGACATCTTAAAAAGCAACATTACAATTTTCATAAAATGAATCAATAACGTATCCCCAAAGGATCAGTCATTGAATATTAGGGTTACTTTTACTTTTTTTCTATGCGTCAAGCATTGCTATTTTATAATATATAAATCATGAATTATATTTGAAATGACACTTTAAAATTATTTGGTTGTTTATATTTAATGAGACCTATTATATTACATTATCTTATCTAATTATAAACAAATTCTCCCTGGTCTTTTCGTAAGAATCACGTGACTACATGTTTATATATGTTGTATATCGTTATAAAATCTATTAATAGTAACAGATTGCTGATAAGCAAAAGGTGTGGTAGCTGATAAGATGCAAATCATTGTAATTCTGTACAGATAATTACATAAGGGATTTTTTTTATTAATCAGTTTCATACTTTATATCATTGGAAAAACCTGTTTACTCATATTTTACACATTAAAAATAAATTTTCAAAACCTTTTCCTTTCTTTTTGGTAACGGGTTAAACTTGGCCCTTTCTGTCAAACTTTCGACAAGAAAATTCAAAAGTTAAGTTTAGGTTGAACATCCCAAAATAATTTTATGCTTAAGAGGCACTTTATTGAAATATATAATGGTAATCGTTGATTTCGGTATATTCCGTCTGTTTCCGTCACGCAGGTTTCCAAAACGGTATGACGTTAGGGTCCGGAATCGTATTAGATACATAGAAAAAAAATAAAATATCTTTGTGTTGATAGTTTATCGCACTGAAAGGCAATTAAACGTTAATTTTTGTATATCGTATGTAACGATGGGAATTCATGTATTGATTTCAACTAAATTATATATTTTTTCTATAGCTTATAATAATGATGTACAACACTTTTACAGTTAAATTGTATTGTTTCATGAAATAATTAAACATATATATTTTCATAGTCACTTTGCAAATATTCGATGATCGGTAATTATTTGTGGGTAATTATCTGAATCAGAACTAGTAACCTATACAGATTTCAATGTATGGTACAAAAGTATATGTATAAAGTACAATTACAAGAAGAATTACCAGCATATCACTTGCCTTACAAGCCTCAGTGGCAATTAAACATTACTCAAATCATTGTTCTTCTTGTTTTTATACTTGAACCATTAAACTTATATTTTCTTATATCTATGATAATACAATCATTTTTCTATCCGGCGACTTGATGCTTTAGCATCAAAATCTCTACTTGTTATTATTATTGCTACGTTAATTAAATTAAAAAAAAATAAAACGAACAAACGCATGAATTAATTTATGAAGTATATTGATGAATAAATGTATGAATGAATGACTTGACTAAACTCGTTATGTTAAGTTTAAAACAATAAAATATTTCAATTATCGACGAAAAAAAAGAAGAAATTTCCAACGTACCTTTCACGTATCTTATTAAGTTTCACTAACAACTATCAGGTCAAAACGCGGATCTAGTTTGCGGAAACTAGGACAAATTTGTTATTCATTGTGGCAAAAAAAGCAATCCCCGCACGTAGCTACAAAATGAAACAGAAGTTTAAGATAATATCATGAAATGTAGCGTTGCTGTCCGGAGACTAGGTGATATTTGTTGTTTGTAATGTTGTAACGAATTTTTTTTTTTTGCAATTTCTGCAAGTTACAACTTGATGTATACGTGTGTACGAATTGATGTGTTGAAGTACATTTATATTGCATATAAAACCTTTCCTTAAAGTCTAATATCTGAGGTGGCTTCTGGTTTGAAACAGGAAAGTATATAATCTACTCATAGTACCAGAAAAAGACGGGTTTTTTTTTTATTTATTTGGTGTCTTTCGGACATGAGTTTACGGGATCGTGAGCGATTTTGGTAATCTCGTTATTTTGGACAAAACATAATAAGTCATTTATAATTAAGTAAATTTCTGTGTTAAAGTAGCTTTTCATTTGAGAATTAATGAAATTTTAAAAGCAGTGTAAGATGTTTAATTGGAGGAGCACGTTTCACATAATTATCTTAAATATCCGAGAAATATTAACTCCTTTGAACCATTTAATAATTTGGACGTGTAACTTACTTTAAAAAAATCTTTATATTATTAAACTAATTTTAAATTGATTAATGGAAACCTTACTTATATTCAGGTCTTTCTGTAATTTTTTATATGTGATAATAATTTATACCGCTGCTGCTGGGTTTGGTATCAGAAATCTTACACAATAAATTATTTGCAGTAAAAATTAAACACGCTGCTTTGTTTTCTTTTCCACTAATATCTCGTTTACTAGTGAAAATACACTTAGTTTTTTTATATCGAAATTATGCCTAAAAACATGCAACACTGATATGCCAGAATTGCTTGTTTACTGGAAAAAAGTTTTTGCTATACATATTTTGTTTATTTATAATTTTACATGTTTTATTGGGATATGTTCGTCATTCTCTATTTACGTGGCACTTGCATGCTAACTTAATATGCCGCTATTATTCACTGTAATTATTATAAAATGATGCTTATACGTTGTTTCCTTGATGTAAGTCTAAATTGAAAGTTTGTAAGCTTGAAAAATTGGATGTTCATAGCAGTTTTTGTTATTCTCTAATGTAGAGACATTCGGATAACAAACAAAATAACGAAACAACGAAATAAATATATAATGCCCCGTCTTTTTTCCCCTTCCATAAAAAACACAAAATGTCAAACTTTGAACATAATTGCAATGACATTTATTGTAAAACATGAAAGTGTAATTATTATACTGGAATTTGTCTCATTGTATAATAAAGAATGTGAGGCCGCAACATTTAGTAAACATATGTTTGTTATTTAGCACAATCCATTTTTATTTCCCAATTGCAATTTATTTGTTGGGGATCTACTACAGTTTACGGAATGGTACTTATACCTGATATTATAATTTAGTTTTATGTATGGAAGACAAATAACCGTTTTCTTAATAATTTAGATATTCTATACGAAAATGTCAACCAGCAGTTTCCAATATACCAATAATTAAGTATCAGGCAGTATAATTTATATTGTAATTGTCAGATTTTTGACGGCCATTTTGTACGCTATCTTGCATGGTATGCTTTACATTCTTTTGTATCTTTTCAAAATAATATGACAGTCCAAATTACAGGACCGTAAATTCCTCGATTTTTTTAAGGAATGGCGATGTATTAATGATTTAGTCGGTGCTAGGGAGCGTAGACCATGTTTTCATAACATTTAATGAATAGGCCCAATGAAGAAATCTTTATACAATTATTTATCTTTAATTGCTCTTTCTATTCCCCTTTTTCAGAATTTAATAAGTTTCTAGTTAATTTGAAATAAAGCAAAACATAATAAAGGAATGTACGAAACATCTCGTTGGAGATAAGCATTGAACATTTGATTAATCACAATGCACCCCATTAAACTATCTCTTTTGATTACAAACTTTTTATTTAATAAATCTCATCACAATGAATATGACACTTTAATATTCAATTATTTTATATTTTAATAGAGGTTCAAAACGTTCGTTAATATGAATCTTTATTTGGATGTGCATGTTGAGTATATGTACCTAATCAACATGCATGTACTGAGGAACAAGTCAATATATCATCAACGACCTCCAACAACCGTGGCACGGCGATCTGTTCACCTTCGTAAGGAGTAACCAAAAATAAGTGTGTGGTTTAAATTATTACATAATTAAGGTCGTAGAGATCAACAATATACAAGAAAGAATGTCAAAAAGTATAAAGAGTTTATTGAATTAATTATATAGCTGTACTTAGATGATTAATATTTGAACTAATGAATGTTACAACTTGTATTCTGACACAAGGATATTTGTATACTAATTTAAACCATACATTTGTCTTAAATGAGTATAATAATAATGCTGTAACTTATTAAAAGTTTCGCTATAATTTTAGTGCTTCTATTTTTTGCCAACACATATAAAAGAATAAATTGGTCACAGTACACATACATGATTAATTATGCTACTTTTGAGAAATATTGCACAACGATTTTTTAAGTACATACATATCTAGAAACTTTGGAAGCATCATTAAGCTTACGATATATCATTTAGAACATTATTAAGTTTTGTATTTTGATTTAAAAAGTGGTTATTGACAATTCGCTACACCATGTATAGGTTAATGTTACACGAGATAATTAAAAAAGCAGCATCCAAATTTTCAATGTCTAAGTAAACATATGATTATGAATGTTACATAGACCTGTAAAAATCAGTTTTGACAAAGTATGTGTTAGGCTAGTCCATCACCGGAACACAGACTGACAGACATTTCCTGATAACGAAATGTATATCGTGAAATGCAACACTAGAATCAATTACTTAAAATGCAGTGTTAGTGTTTACACGCCGGTTTCCAGGCCAGTTTTGACAATGTCCGGTTTAGAGCTGTCCTCACAAGTTGTGAACTGGACCCATGAATCGATCAAGGCGCTCAATGGCACTTTTCCATCGACTGGATTGTACAAATGATAGAACTGTTTATCAAGCGCTATGTTATCGTGGCCACTGGCTCTAAATGCGTTCACAAATACTTCTTCAGTAACACCCTCTTCGGACAAATTCATGGTCTGGAAAAGAATGGTGAAATAATTTCGTCGTTTAGCAATGTATTGCTCCTTGTCGGCTTTAAAGTCTTCATCTTGCATGGCTACAAACTCATCTTCAGAGATCGGTCCCGGCTTTCCGTAGAATACATTTTCGTTAACCTGTTTATCTATTGTCGCCATCACCTGTTTCCTTTGGTCTCCCTCAATGTGGTTAAGTATGACGAATCTATTCCTGAAAAACAATGATCTTGTTAAATTAAATGGGAACAGAACAGTTGTGTGCTTGTTTATGTTATTTTCATCATGATACTTAGAGGATATTCAAGTTTTTTCTAGAAATACAGGGTTTATTTTCATCGAGTGGTATAAAAATTAATATTTCATGAGTGGCGGTACGAAGCCACAAGCGAAATATGATTATTTTCATATCGCCATGATGAAAATATTTTTCTGTTTATTATATTCAATCTTTTTTATATTACATTTTGAAAGACTTCCCCTAAACATTCTGTATTGGCTGAATTCAGAAGAAAGTAGTCCAGCAAAAATCCAGTGAAAATACGGAAAATATACTTCACTGCAGTGAAAAATATTTTTTTTTCAATGACATACAGAAAATAAAACTCAATATTTCAATATTTCTCATCATTTCATGTATAAAGTATACAAGAACGTTGTTTTATTCTCTATTGTAGGATAGGTTGCTGATTAAATAAAATAGTTGTTTAGATAGACTTTAAAAAATGTTTGATCAAATGGTATCTGGCGTGAAGTTAACTCAAATGTAAGTGTACCTTAATTTGATTGATGATATGTTTTCGAGACTTTAGACATTTTTGTTTACTTATTGATAGTAAAAAAGTTCACACAAAATATAATTAAAACACGCATATATAAGCTGTGTAGTTTTTCTTATTAAAGAAAATCATTTATAACTTGTCAACATATTCGTAAGAAATTGAACAAAAATCTATTTTACAATGATAATGCGTATAATAAACGTACATTATTTTGTAAAACGATAAGGTATACAAATATATTATCTTGCCACAATAACGTAAAAACCAAAGACCAAGCATAAAAAAGTTATGTTGCGATGAAAATATAGAACTTCTGTTTATAGAGAAAACGTACATTGTTTTGCCAAACAAAAAAGTGGAACACGCAAGGAAATAATATGTAAAAAGAATAGATTATTATGTTCAATTATGTAATTGTACTTACTCTTTTGCAGTTATATCATCATGCGAAAGTTTATGTTTATGCTCTGCATCGATGGCCCCAAACCACATTCTCCACTTGTTCTTTAAATATTCATTCGCCATATTTATATACTTTATATCTGTTAAATAAATGATATTTCGAATGTAAAAAAATGCATATTAAAACAAGTGTATTATAAGTGTGACTAAAAAATGTGCAAAATATTGAGTATGAAATTATTAAAGAATATTGAACTCTTATAAAATTGCTATAAATGCAATTATGCACAGCCTAGCACCATACTTAATGATTTTCTTTTCAACATCCAGATAACAATATAGAATACAAAGAAACATAATAAAATTAAATTAAATGCGTTACCTGTTTAAACAAGTGGTCTGTTTCCCGCTCACTATAGAACTGTTTTATATTACATACGTCCTCTTCGTTCGAAAACAATGTATGCGCATGCGCGCAAGTTTATAAGTGTCCATACGAGTATTAATCAAAATCACATAGCTATATTTAAATGTAATTAAACAGACAATCGAGACGATTTAGGTATTGTTCTGTTGTAACTATACTACGTGTCGTTATGTTAATTACATAAATAATTAATAGAGGCAAGGACTGGATATGAAAGCATACATAAGCGGCAATAAAGTGTCAAAAAATTAAACAAAACAAAAAACAAAAACGTTGTTCTTCACCTACGGATTCAAATTCGGGCCGTTGCAAAGTGTTCTAAGTCAACAAGTCAACATCCTTCTATATCGTGATAATACGTTGTAAGACAATAACACAATAAAGAAATCATTGAATTAAATTTAAACAAAAAAATGATTTGCCCTTGTCACCAGCAGAGGCTGATCATGGTTTATACTGTTGGCGGTTGATATAGCCCTAAATCTTTGACTGAACTATTCAAAATGCGACGCAAAACAAATCCGTTTCACATTGCTTACATAGCAGATAGGGGATAAAGCACGACTTTAAGACTTACAGACTTACAGACTTACAGAAGTGTTGAGAATTGAGTACCGCTCAACCCGGTGCTAGGGGGCGTGAGGGATGTTGCACTTATTCATTATCCCTCATGTACAGACTCTATCAAACCGAGTCTGCAATTCTCTTGTAATTTTGTTTCCAGATTTTTATACTTCACAACAGCAGGTGTCAAGTGCTGTGTGACAGCTGTAAAAAGTCGACTTCACTTCAGTGTTGTTATATTTTTCTGGTCCTTCGGGATCATCGATGCCAGCACTATTAAGTGTTGAGAATTAAGTACTGCTCAAGCCGGTGCTAGGGGGAGTGAGGGATGTTTCACGTATTCATTATTCCTCATGTACTGACTCAGTCAAACCGAGTCTGCAATTCTCTTGTTATTTTGTTGTGATTAATGCTTCCGTATTAGATTTTTATAACGATTAAATTGTATTGTTTTGCATTTTCAATGCTTTGTTTAACATTAAACTTGCTGAATATGTAGTTTGTATGCTGAATATGCTGAATTTTGTCCTGCTTTTAAATTTGAAGCAAAAGGGATTTCAATATCGAAATACAAACATTGAGTTACCAACCATATAGAGCCTGGCAAGAAAGCTCTAAAGTGCATACTGGTCTGGCATTATTCAGATGGTTAAGGCCCAGCACTTTCAGAAGTTCTAGTGATTAAGTTTTTTTAATGTATCAAATTGTTGTATCAAATTGTCACTGTAAGATAATTTGTATAGTTAAAGAAATTAGTTTTCAAAATACACGAGCACAACGATAAAGGGACATCGTCAATCATGTTTATTTACAATTGCATCTTTTTCTGAACCCTTTTTACATATATTGCACTTAATGCCTAGCATACAAGTGAAATCAAACAACATAAAATGTTAGATATTTGAACTAAGAGTCATTACACTTAATCACAAATGTCTGACATTTTGTTTTTACAATGGAATTTATTTGTTGTCCTTTTTATGATTGTTTTTCTCCTTAATTATTTCTATAATCGTAATTTGTCGCATATTTTGTAAAAAATGAAAAATCCAACTATAGCTTTTTTAGCTTTATTCATGCACTTAAAGTTAACCTCTAATGTTTGCATAATGTTGGCTTTGAAGCTTCAGCAAAGCTAACGGAAATTCACAGCTGCATTTTTTTTTGCCATTTTCGTCAAACTCCAAATAAGATCTATATGATGTTCCGAAATAGAAATTCCTGACGAATGTCCAATCATGTGATCCATATCTTTATTTGGAATACCTCGATGATAAGCACTAGCCCTCATCAGAAGTTACTATTTATTGACATTTTTTTTTATTCAAAGGAAGACAATTGTTGTTGACTGGAACCAAAATGTTGTCTAATGTATAAGGTGCAACATGGCGTTTGTTTATCTATGAATTAAGATACAATAAAAAAAATAAACCAGTCTTCAAGTTATATTTTGTTCAAGGTTTTGTTTGTATTCATGGGTGCCAAAAAAAAAATATAACTAGTAAAATGAGAAATGACTGCGTTGTTTATAAAGAGTAGTGTTGTCATATGCTTCCAAATACACTTTCTTGTCCTTCGGGAAAAGGGTACTTCGATAAAAGGGCCGTTCGATAAAAGATTAGTTCGACAAAAGAGACGTAAAAGGGACCATACAATTATAAATAATTCTCATAATAGCTTACGTCGGTGCTGGCGTGTGGACGTGAGAGATATTGTACAATAATTCTTTGCTGATGTTTCTTTTCCTCGCTGTCCTGAACATAAGTGATATTTATAATCTGTAATGTACAGATATTTGGACATAAAAAAACCAGAAAGAATAAATCCCCATTTTTTTTCTTTCTGCAATAAAACATCAAAAATGTCAAATATTAAACATAATTACAATGACATTTATAGTGAAAGGTTAAAGTTAAATGAAATTTATGCATTATGTTATATTATTACATTATACTTGTCTCATTACATAATGTGAATAAGTATAATTATCTCGCTGTAACTTTTAGTTAACATATGTTTGTTATTTAACGCAATCTACAATGTACGTTGTTTCGTTTGGACAATCGTGATTTTTAATTTCGTCCCTACCTGCGATGCACGATGGTACGATGACACGATGGTGAAAACACGATGGTACGATGGTGAAAAGGCGATGGTACGATGACACGATGATGAAAACACGATAGTAGGATGGTGAAAACACGATGGTACGATGATGAAAAGGCGATGGTACGATGACACGATGATGAAAACACGATAGTACGATGGTGAAAACACGATGGTACGATGGTAAAATCGCGAAGTCGCGATGATGCGATGGTGATTGGCAAAGTTCTTTGTAAAACCAATATCCCACACATTGTAACTGTTAGTTTGTGCATTTTTGAAATAAGATGTAAACAAAAGATAAAATTTACCACAGGCTCGTACATCTTAATGGAACTAGATGATTAATACATGTCTTGTCCGACGAAAAAAGAATAATTTAAGTAGGTTATCATGCTGTTATTTTAATAAAACTGCAACGTTTTATTTTTTAAATATTGACTGAAATTATAATAAACACACACGTTTACTTGTTGCAAGTTTTGATAGAACAGTTATACGCTTGGTTTTTTTGTTTTAAATCTTAATCCGGTATAATATACATGTATAAATAAAAGGAGACAAAAAAACCCAGACCATATCTTGGTTATCCGGTTTAACGGGTGTGATTATTACGGAATGCCGTTAGGGCCATCGCCTATGAATGGTTTGATCTGAAACGCGATACTCGACAGTACGATGATGAAAACGCGAAATCACGAAACTACGATGGTAAAAACGCGACAGTACGATGATGAAAACACGACAGAACGATAACGAAAACGCGAAAATACGACAGTACGATGATGATAATGCGATAAAATATCATGTATTCATCATCGTACTTTCGCGTTTTCACCATCGTAATATCGTGATTTCGCGTTTCATCATCGTACTGTCGAGTTTTCATCATCGTACTATCGCGTTTTCACCATCGTACTATCGCGTTTTCATCATCGTACTGTCGTGTTTTCATCATCATACTATCGCGTTTTCACCATCGTACTGTCGTGTTTCCATCATCGTACTGTCGTGTTTTCATCATCGTACTATCGCGTTTTCATCATATTACTATCGCGTTTTCATCATCGTACTGTAGTGTTTTATCATCGTACTATCGTACTGTCGTGTTTTCATCATCGTCATGCGCGTTTTCATCATCGTACTGTCGTGTTTTCATCATCGTACTATCGCGTTTTCATCATCGTACTATCGCGTTTTCATCATCGTACTATCGCGTTTTCACCATCGTACTGTCGTATTTTCATCATCGCATCAGCGCCTTCCGATGTACATATACATGCTCATAAATAAACAATCGTAAATAGATTTATGAATCAGAATAAATGTTTACCTTCAGACTCCGAATCCGACATTTTAATTGTCACATGGAGGGTAAATTCTTCGCAATGCGTATGCGCATCGGAAGGCGACAGTACGATGGTAAAACGCCATAGTACGATGGTGAAAACGCGATAGTACGATGATGAAAACACGACAGTGCGATGATGAAAACATGACAGTACGCTGATGAAAACGCGACAGTACGATGATGAAAACGCGATAGTAGGATAATATTAACGCGAAAGTACGATGATGAAAACACGACAGTACTGTGATAAAAACGCGATAGTGCGATGATGAAAACGCGATAGTACGATGATGAAAACACGACACTACGAAGATGAAAACGCGATAGTACGATGGTGAAAACACGGCAGTACGATACTACGATGATGAAAACGCGAAATCACGAAACTACGATGGTGGAAACACGACAGTACGATGGTGAAACACGATAGTTTATCGCCTTTTCATCATCGTAGTATCGTACTGTCGCGTTTTCATCATCGTACTATCGCGTTTCATCATCGTACTTTCACGTTTTCACCATCGTAGTTTCATGATTTCGCGTTTTCACCATCGTACTATCGGTTAACGCGTTTCGATCTGATCAACACATTCATAGGCGATGACCCTAACGGCATTCCGTAGATTATAGGGGTGTTTATATCTGTGTCATTATAAGGGTGTTTATATCTGTGTCAAATGAAATGTTAACAACCGTCAGGCCTCAGTTACGTTATGGAAAGTTGTGTAAACAAATATGATCATGTTTTTATAGCCGTTTTGTGTTGCAACTATTTATTTGTGCTGATTCGCTACAGTTTTTGAATTAGTACTTTATGGTTATACAGTTGACACAAAATTTTGATATTTTGTATGTGCTTTCTTCGCGTATTTACTTCATGTATTAAGCACCGAACATACTCTAAAAATGTAAAAACATCTTTGCTTTTGATTGTCAGATTTAAAATATTATTCATTTACATGTCATTAAAATATTTATGTTCATAAGATGACGTCTCTTTTTTCTCATCGGTGTTTCGTTCTCCTGTATTATTATTTTTTTATCCTATAAAAATGTGACTTTTTCACTCTCAAGGAGGTTTTTAATTTTAATAGGGCATTTGATGGACCGTTTAACGTTTGTAACAGAAAACCAGCCTGCATATAACATACTTGTCATGTATGTTTGCTGTTGCATGTCGGAAGTGACATTAGCCTTATGACTATAATATTACCTTAGTTATAGTCTCAAAACATTTAAACAAGTTTTTACTTTTTTCACGTATTAATTTCAAATTCTGCTGAAGTCGGAGCTACGAGGCTTGAACGCTGGCTTACCGCTGCTAGGTGATGTGAACGCTGCATTACCGGTGCTAGGAGACGTGAACGCTGCATAACCGGTGCTAGGAGGTGTGAACGGTGCATTACCGGTGCTAGAAGGCGTGAACACTGCATTACCGGTGCTAGGAGGCGTGAACGCTGGCTTACCGGTGCTAGAAGGCGTGAACGCTGCATTACCGGTGCTAGGAGATGTGAACGCTGCATTACCGGTGCTAGGAGATGTGAACGCTGCATTACCGGTGCTAGGAGATGTGAACGCTGCATTACCGGTGCTTAGAGGCGTGGACGCTGCATATCCGGTGCTAGGAGATGTGAACGCTACATTACCGGTGTTAGGAGATGTGAACGCTGCATTACCGGTGCTAGGAGGCTTGAACGCTGCATTACCGGTGCTAAGAAGATGTGAACGCTGCATTACCGGTGCTAGGAGGCGTGAACGGTAGCTAGCGAGGGTGCATATACCAATGCCTTCCATTAAAAAGCTAATATGAAGACTGTGTTGAATTTTGCTGTGTTGGTCTTCCTTTAATTGACTGAGTATTCAACTTACGTGTAAGAAGTTGCTTACAACATATCTACATATCTATTATACAAACTTAAATCATAAACTGAATGCAGTATAACATGTAAATCTTATTTCATTTCACTGTTGTTTACTCACACACTACCACTACCACTCATGTGACAACAGGTTCACATAGATCCTATCCTATGATTCTCCGTGCATTGCATTAGACTTCACATTATACCGTATATTATATAATAAAGTTGGCACATATTAGTTGCATGGACAACTGCTTATATAACGTAGCGAAACGGCTTTGTTTACTTAAAGGATTCGAACATTTTAGAATGAACTTACGAATGGTAAATGTTAAGGTAATGAATTTAAAAGTTGTCATTCCGTTTGATTTGTAAATAGATGAATTAATGGTAAACCGAGACCCTTACCATCCTTAATGCCTTGATATGGACTTGTCCATCTTACAGTCTGGACACAACCATTCACAATTTTAGGTAAAACTCAAAATAGGTAATGACAATATAGCGAATAGAGTAGACCGTGATCAGAAGAGTTAGTTGTCAGCAGAAATGTAAGGGTTATAGAGGCAATGTGTATATGTTTAGTGAGAGATGTTAAATTTTTTGAACCTTGAGGATTATCAAGTACATTGTATATCATCATTGATGTATTAATGATATTTAAGATATCATTTTATTCTTTTTGTTGTTGTTTGAATCAAGTATTCATTATGATACATGAAAACTGTTTGATTACTCTTAGGAAAATGGTTCATAATCACTGTAAATTCTGGCTTAAACGGTGCTAGAGGGTCGTTCACCGTTGGTCGTCCATAAATAGAACAGGTAAAACTAATCAAACCTGCAACATCTTTTTCATTCTTTCAGTTTTCCATTATATCTATTTTGATGGCCACAAATTCCTAATAACAAACAATGATATAATAATAACAAACTTTCTATATAAATCCAATGTACTTTCTAACATAAGCATGCTTGAATATACACCAGTAAGTCATTTATACAGAAGAATAATTTTATTAAGAATGCAATAGAGGATAGAGTTTAGAAAAATATACTACACATAATACTATCAATATTGCATGCTGCTAATATCCATTATTTAACTGAGAAAGGTTAAAAGCGCAACTCGCACAGTTGCCTAGATTTCTTTAAAGGCGCGACAGTTTCTCGTCTTTATTTACAAATCAGGGCATTTTTCCAGTGTTTCTAACAACATATCTGCCTTTGAATCATCCTCGCTAGTAAGGAGATGTACCCATGCGTCAACTATACTATCCGTATGTGCCTTGCCGTCTCCATTATCAAACACATTAAAGAATGACTTCAGCCACTCATCGTGATTAAACCCAAAGGCTTTGTAAATATTTGTGTATTCTTCTTCAGTAAGATATCCCTTGCCTTCCGGATCAATGACTGTGGCATTCTCAGTACACGCTTTTCGCATGATGTCCTCAAATTGTTTCTTATCCGCCATAAAGCTTTTGTTTGTTGACTCAATGAACTCTGCTTCAGTCACAGGGCCTGATTTGCCATGGAAAACGAATTGGTCCCATTGACTCTGTGAAGTTTTGATCGCCTTTTCCTTCTCTTCACCTTCCAAGTGGCCTAGCTTCAGGAAAGTTTCTCTAGAAGAAAAACAAAATATATACATGTAGTTAAACAGATTAAATCGTTAGTAACGTGATCATGACAGTACAAAATGAGCATGAACACTGATTAGCTGATTAATAATACATCCTTGAACTCTATTAGTCCAAAAGAAATAACTGTATGCATGTTGTGAAATTACTTTGGTTTCTTGACCCCTTTATTTAAATGTATTGAAAATCAGCAAGTTGCTCTCGATGGATAGCCCCTATATTCATGGTTTATTAAGAAGTAAAAAATCTAAGGCACAATCAGATTTGATGGTTAAAACCTAGCAACTATTGCACTAAAGTATAAAATTTTAATAATTTCCTAGAAAATAATAAGTCATAAAACAGCATTGCTGACCGCGTGGGTATAAACCCTGTCAAGGGCAATCCGTTGTTTCCTTGAGCAAGAAATTTTACATTCATTGCGTAGTAGTCCTGGTTGGTTCCAGGAACAGATTCGAGAGTGTTTCAATAAGCTTACAATCGAACTAAAATAAATTTGTATAAATTAAACAGTGGATGATACTTACTCGGTTCGCTTTTCATCCTTTTGTGTTAACTGTCCTGTATGCTCTCTATCCACAGATTTAAACCAGACTCTCCATTTCCGAATCAAATATTCATTAGCCATTCCAGATGTATATCTGATAATACAAAAAAGTGTTTTCTTCTTTATCTTTAAACGGAATAAATCTTGATCGTACAAATTAAGTTATGTATGTCAGATGTCCAAAATTAAAGTGGAATGGTCTACCGTGGGAAGTATTTCAAACATTGATAACATTTGGAAATTCTTTCTAAATAGTTCTTGAAAAAAAACTAAGTGATTAAGTATGAACATTTATATAATGAGTTATAATATTTTGTTCTAGAACAATTCGTTATCTGTTAAACATGAGAAGTCTTAAGATACTCATTTTTTATTACCTTGAACCATATTTTGCTTCTGTTGCTGTATGGTAATTAGTACAGTTGTACATAGTGACAACGTATTTCTATGGAAGATATTCTACTTTGTTTACATTTTGCTACCTTTATGACAAACTATTTCACATTAAGCGCTACTTTCTTCAAATGACAAGCCTTTAATGTGTTCTTTAACCATTTTAAACGTTATGAATTTCATATTAACACTTTAAAAAATTATTCGTTTCTGAGACAAAATGTGCTTTTCAAGAAATAGAAAGAAAGAAAACAACCTAATTTCATCTGTAAAATTCACTGGATTCTAAATCGTAATAAGATATCCAAGGTTAGCTTTACAAAAAAACATCACTTACCGTTCTTTCACTAAATATCCTTTTTACGCTCTGAATAAAGTGAACGTATTAAAATCTGATAGCGTAAACAATCTTGTTGCCAAGAGAAAATGCTTGTAAATACGTATTGAAAAAAGTACATGTGGTTTCGATAATTCTCTGTAACTTCTCTTGGCGGTTTTCCAGCTATCCTGTTATCTGCATCAATCTAAGTAATGATTTAAAAAACCCACATAAATCATAACCAAAATGCGTCAAATTTCATTAATTATTTAAAAACTTAGTTTTAATTTGTTAACAGAGCGGGTTTACGTGGTCACCGTTACACAAAAACTGCAAATGATGCTTTTTGAATGTACTTTTTACTGTACCTGAACTCGATACGGCAATTATAGCAAGGTAAAAATTGTCCTTATTGATTGATACACTCTATTTGGCAATTACAGCAAGGTACGTTGTCCTCATTGATACACTCATGAGTCATTTAGTCGACGGGGTCGAAATTAAATGTGACACCAGCACGACACGAATTATATTGACAATCGAAGGTGTAAACCTTATTCTTGTAGTTTTTAATGATTTTAATTAAGCGCGGTTATATGGCGTAAAAGACAATCAACAAAGAATGCATTTTACCGAACACGACAAGTACCATAACGTGCACGAGGAACGCAAGCGCATAAGCTATACGCTCGTACCGTTCAACAAGGATTATTTTGAACGCAAATACTTATTTTACTTATAAAAAGTGTGCAATATTGGAATAACTATACCGTATGTAAAATGATTGAGTAGCTCCCGAAATACTATATATAGATATTTTAATAGTGCCAATTAATAATTCGTTTAATAAAATGTTACAAGACTCCCACTATATGCATGTGGCGTAAAGGACAAAATATATATAAATATTGGACCAAGTTAGCATCCATGTCGACAGGAAAATTCCCAAATTAGTGTCAGATTGCTGCAGTTACGACAGAAATATTTTTTTCTCTAAACATAAGTAGGTGGAAAATTTGGTTAGTTTATTTATATCATGCAAATATTAAAATTTTTATTGCAACATAGGCTTTATGTCCATTGACTGGAAATTCTATCAGTTAATTTGGATTCGTTTCCCCATTTTATGAAATATTTTGAACAGTTAAAAATGACCTCTTCGGAAAAATACATGAAAATGATTTTTTTGTTTGTTTGTTTTTGTTTTGTTCAAAATATCTCAAGTTTGAAATTAATGAAATGATTTCGTATTATAGACATAGTCATCACACGGAAAACCCAAATGCCATACCATAATAATAATAATATAAAATTTATAAAGAACAATCCTATGTCAAAACAGTGTGAGACACATCAGATCGGACATACATGAAATAAAATTTCATAGGAAATTAAATTTCTTTATGTTAATTGTTTATAATATAAAACAATATATTATATAGTGCAACTTCATGTTTATATATATTATAAAGAGCAAGTTCGTGTTATAATTGTGAGAAAGAATGGTAGCTGATGAAAATATCCCTAGAAATTGTTTTAAATTTTGATTTTATTCATTATCATAAGCCATAATGCTACAGATTTAATACCAAACGTAACTAAAAAGGCAGACTGGTTCTAGGACTTGCCTTTTGGTCATTTGTAATTTGTAACCCAACCCCTATTGAAGTATGAATGGAAGTAGGGGAAAGTGACATCAGTTTTTACTTTCTGCTGTCCTAGAGTGGGGTTGTTGAAGTTGCTTTCACAAAAAGGTTAGTGGTTGTAGTTTAAAGTGTGCAAGAACAACTTTGCGGGAATAACATAATCTCAATGATTCACATGTCTGTATGTGGATATGCTGGACTCAACGTCATACTAATCTCAGGGGGTGGGCTATAACATGTATAAATGACTGGTGAATAAGCTTAAGTCATATCAATAGAAAGCCCGACGTTCTTTCATTAAGGGGTGAAAATTAAATCTTCTTGTATATACATCATCACATTCTAAAATTTCAAAGGTGGACATTTTCGTATTGAAAGAAATAATACCTCATGGATTAATTCATGTATATGAAATGTCGTTTCATGATGAAAATTTTATGAAAAAGTTATTAAGTGCAAACCCTTAAATGAGTTAGCACGGTAATTTTGTTATAGTAACCGACCGGTGGATACGGTAAAAACAAGTGCTTTATAGGAAGGCCTTTGTTGTTGTCACAATTTGATAGAAGTATATGTAATAAATATTATAATATTTACTTTTGCAAAATGTATGGAAATAATCAATTTCTGTTTTGACATATTTTCGTAATGATACAGACTAAGCTGCCCCTGTCTTTCCTGTCGTTTTCCAATAGTTCTGAAATAACTTGAAATTTGAATCTTACTTATAGTTTTATGTTTCTTTGTCCAGTTTAAAGTTATATAAAAATCCAGGGCCTCTTCTGCAAGGGCTTGTCGTACTACTTGCTTTCAACCACAAAATAATAACTTCACAAAACTAATCAGCATCACAAAACAACTTAAACCAAAACAACCAATGTTTACAGATATTTTTCAAAACGATAGCATCAACTACAAGACAAAATCACTCAATAAAACTCTGCAAATATTAACCATATATATCTTACCAAACAAATATAACTCGACAATCAAATATAATGCAACAACAAAAAACAACTAAATACAACCAAAGAACCATGATCAATTAAGATCACCTCAATTAAATTCAACCAAATTCAACAAAACCTGAAAATTCCATTCAAAACAACAATATTGTCTTTTCTAAAAAATAAATAAATAAATAAATAAAAAATAAACGCTAGTGCCTTACCTAAACTGATGTAAATTTCTCCCAAACTAAACTGATGTTTTTTTTTGTATTTCTCCGATCAAATATTTGCTAGCTTATAGATGTACGAGAAAGTCTATACAAAAAATGCGATAAAAATAACTATTCATTGAAACATGATATTTACACTACTGTAGAATTTTTTTTAACTCGTTGTAAAAAATATAAAAAAGATAAAACTCAGGGGCGGCTTCTGAACAGGATTGGCGGTGGGGGGGGGGGGGCTGACATGTTGGTTGCAGATTTTGACAAAAAGGAGAGAAAATAACACGATAGATGAAAAATGTGTTTTTAATCCTGGACCAGCATCGGCAATCTCCTGAAATATTCCGCTAAGTTTATCACATTCTATATTCTATACAGTAACTACAAATGCAATATGAGCCTACTCTTTACCGCCAGCACCGTGTATATGCAACGGGGTAGGTGTGGTAGAAGTGTTCCCTCCCATGTTCTGAGAAAATTTTGAAAATGGTGTTATTTCCTTGACTTTCTTATGCTTTTTATGGAAGCTTTTTGATAATTTAATTTACATTTTTTTTATTTAAAATTTACATCATCAAGTTGCATTATTATTATTATTATTCAATAAGAAATTATTCCATCAATGAATGAGAAAATGTATTACCTGGTGTATAACATTCTTTGATTTTTGAAAACAAGCATGTTCTTTGAAATCTGATATTTTTTGAAACTGTGATTACTAATTTACTATTGCAGCTTTGTTTCGGTCGATGGCTCTTACAACAGTTCACCTAAATGTGAACGAGCTATTGTATATAAGATTTATTTAAGACAAGGAAAGACAATCAGGTTATATTACGCATTATTCGATTTTAATGATTTACTTTTTTTCTAAAAAAAACTGTATATGTTACAGGTAATTTTTGTAAAAGATAACCTTATAAATAGGAATTTTCGTGTATTGGCTGAATTTAGAATAAAGTGGTCGGTGAAAATACGGAAAATTTGTTTCAATGCAGTGACAAATAAATTTTTACTGTGAAAATACGGAAAATAGAAATACGCATTTTATATCATCAATATTTCATTTATAAGTATATAAAATAAATATGTTTAAACCAAGTATGATAATTTAACCATTTAATTTATAGGCTATTCAAATATATTTATTTCAGACTCAAATATTGAAACCATGTCAGATGCTGTATGGAAAAGCTAGCAACTTTTAATGAAGAATACCTTTTCTGTTACCAAGTTTAATGTTTCCACAAACCCTTAGGTTGTATGCAATGGTAATAGTACTATTTCGATCTATCATCCTCTCGTCCAATAATTTTTGCAATATTCCTAAGGGGCGAGTAATCTATAAGACTTAAGAAAACGTAATGTTCTAGTTCTCTCCCCTGGACGCAATATTGCTCTCGTACGAAAGAAGAAAGGTTCATATCGATGAATTTCATTACTTGTAACTTTTTCAATTCTCTTCGTAAAAAGTTATTGATATACATTGTGTAAATAATTTAGATAGCATTTATGTAAAAGACAAGTCATATCCAAAGAGTTAAGTCAAGTCAAAAACCTATACATGTATGTGTTATATGTGTTTGTCAAACTGTAATTATTATTACATTTATGTAATTTTATATAAATCAATTTTGAATAACTGTTCACTTTGTTGTTAACCTTTCATCACCTTGCCTTGGTTTCGAATAAAATCTTGAAAATCTTGAGTTTATCAACTTATTTCTCCACCATAACTTCAATCTTTTTTTTCCAAACTAAACAAGTTTTAGCTGAAGAGACTTCAACGAACAGGTTTTTTAGTACTGTCGCACAATGTCAAAATAAAAGCGACATATAAAGTTATGGAAGCCAGAACTAAACAATATTGAGAAGATAAAAATGTCTGGTTTAAGAGCAGTATTTGTTCTTCTCTGCAAATTGAATGCTTTTTGTTAAATTGGCGATAAATTCAAAATTAAGCGTATTAATTTGTTGACATGTGCGAACGATTTTGATATTTACCACTAAATCAAACCCAAAACGCATTTGCTGCATCAAGATTCGTTTTTAAGTCTACATGTATTTATTATATAAGTTGTCACCTTTCAATTAAAAACGGCATTGCCTTGAGTAGTTATGTACGAGTGTACGTAGTAGAACCAATATCATGACATATGTTCGTTTATAAATGTACATGTATTGATCTTTGCGACCTTGATATGAAATATACATTTTATCTATATTTAGACCTGTCAAGTCTATGGTGTGGCCAAAAGTTTGTAGAGCGCGATTATTTAAATCACTGTAAATAATGGCTAATCACGGTTGTGAAATTTCAAGAGAAACGAAAAAAAATTATTGAGCTGTTTGAAAGCGGATAGCATGCTAGGGATTTTGCAAAAAAATAATATTTACTAGTGAAAGCACGATTTCCAGGATTTTAAAGCGGTGGAATCAAAAGTGAGACACTGAAAATGCCCATCGACCTGGCAGGCGAAAAGCAATATCGGATCGCGCCGACCGCGCCTTGTTAAGGATTGTAAAAAACGGCGATCTAGTTTTATGAGGAATGAGGAGCCATTATATTATATCCAGAAGCTGTATGATAGCCTACCCCGAAGATGTCAACAAAGAAGAAATTATTAAAACTAGTTACATCACATCATTTTTCAGGTTAGTAAATAATTTTTATAGAGTTCATGTTACGTTAACTACTGCATCGCCATTAAACAACTTGACTCATTTAGAACAGAACAGAACATTTCTTTTATTTTTCCTCATTATTTGTCAATACAATATGGGGAACATAACAAAATGTTTATAGTATATAGATCATGTATAGTTCCGGTTCAAGCCAAAAAAAAGTATAATCATTTAACACAGTATACTGCAAATTGGAGAATAAAACTTTACTAAATTACACAAAAAGAAAATACAGGTGTCTTCCAGGTGTTGCTTTACTCTAAATCGATATACACTACAGTATTGATTTATTATTCTACATTTGTGAAAAAATAAGGAGGTTGTCTATTGTAATAATTTGAACAGGTATACAACAAAATACGCACCTGTATGTGTATAGCACGACATTAAGTATAAAACATTAGCACAAACATGTAGTAAATCTGCACGTGAAAGTCGTGCATAACAGTTATCTACAACTAAAAGAAATGTCATTCATAGATTTGAAATGTATTACTACGTGCATTGGAGAAAATCGCATTATGAACCAATTGGATTTAACTTATCGGACTATGTTGGAGTAAAATGTGAGTTATAGGAATTTATAAATCTACATATAGATAATATGTACAAATATCTGTTTAATGAGAAAATAACTTCATTTACATGTAGCTAAGAAATTACCTAAAAAAATAAACATACAATTAAAAGGAAACAAACAAATTTACGAATGAGTAATATGTAATAATGAAATCTTGAATTAGATATTGAGGCATAAAGATAATTGAAAAGTTTTTTATAATAGAATTAATGAATTTCACAAATCTCCTTAAAACATGTATGTTATTTGACCCTAATAGTGATTTCAGCGAAAGTTCGCCTTCGTGTAATAAATTTGCGTTTTGGAAAATTAACCTCTCTTTGTCGCGCGAAAAAAATACAATGTAACAAGTAATGTTGTTCGGTGCCTGTTTGATTGTCGCTACACGATGTACAAAGTCTATTATTATAAGGAGTACCATCCTATCTTCCAACTTCTACTAGAAGCCTATGATTTGATGTTCTAAATTAGAATAAAGAAATATAATCCGATTGCACTAAAATTTTGAAATATTCTTCATAATTATGATCGTCTTTAAAGCTTTTATAATTTAACCCTTTATTTGATTGTTGAAGCTGCGCTTACGAAGACTATTTGTATTGGTCTATTAATGTTTGTTTTATAAGTTTATGTATATGCAAGTGATTTATCTGGGTCTGGTTTTGCCTAAGACCAGGGCAGCCAACAGAATTAAGAATGTCTCTTATGTATTTGTAAAGCTGTAACGATATTTTATTTTTTCCCCTTAATGGGACGATTCCAAAATGAGATCATCCTAGTTTTAATTACAGTAAATATTGGATACCGTCCAAGTTCGCCCATTATCATGTATAGGGAATGTGGTTATTTTACGTAGAAATCATTATGAACTTTTTCTAATATATCTAAATTTTCAAATCCAAATATTTCCGATCCATATGTCAAAATAGGTAAAACAGTGTGGTCAAATAGTTCAATAATAAGATTTAGCAGTAAGTCTGAGTTATTTGATCTAGTAAACAGTAAATATATTGCCTTAGATGCTTGTTGGACTACGTGCTTTCTAGCTTTAAGGAAGGAACCATTGCTAGAGAATGTCACACCTAAGTAATGGCAAAAATCGGATATCTAAATATTTTCATCTTCTAGATGAAATCTAAATTTCCCAGTTTGTTGAGCACCAAAAATTACTACTTTTGTTTTGTTTATGTTCACCTTTAGATGCAATTTTAACAGTAATCATTAGAATTGTTCAAGCAAATTTGGAGACTGTTAGCGGTGTTCAATAACAGTATAGTATACAGTTATTTCATATGTGTTTCAGGAGCAGTCAAACTGTTTGCCCGAGGTGGAGGGGGTAGTGTTTTGAACTGTTGCCCAAGGCCTTAGGCCGAGGGAAACAGTTCAAAATACTATCCCCGACACCGAGGGACAACTGTTTGACTGTTCTCAAATCACATATGAAATATCTGTTTTATTACCTGATTAATTAGTGTTTTAACAGTACATGTATTGCGGAAGAAAAAAGGAACAAGAAACTTGTTTTGCACATATGTTAATAATTAAACTTAAAACTCTAACTATGTCACGTCACATCTGGTTTATGATCAAGATCGATGGACGCTTCAAGTGGGAATCCTCTAAGACGTCAATGACGTCAGAGCACGCGAGGGAAACAGTCGAAACTATTGACCGGTCAACAGTTCGCGAATGTTGACGTTTTTAGAATTTCAGAAAACAGTTGAAAATACTAAATTACATTTATATAAGGTATCAGGTAATAATGCCGTCTGCATAGAGAAGAACAAGAAGTTTAAGCCATAGAGTAAGATCGTTGTGATCGAATAATCTAACGTTA